TGTGTGTTTGTGCGCCCAGCATGTTGGAGAGGTGTAGAAAACTGTTAGTCTTTTGGCCTCCCCTCAGTCCCTGCCTCCTGCTCTTCATCGCTTGGTTTAGATGTCGGGCTGCACATCCTCATCCATATGTAGTTCTTAGATCTTGGTGTGTATTGATCTAGTCCGTTAATCTTGTTTATTTTCTTACCATTCCATACTGCCTCTTTCCTGCTCCCGTTCTGACCCTTAGCCTTATCTCACTTCTACACACTTCTCCCCTTCACCACCTCTCAACTGTAAGCCTTTCCTCGTCTCCGTTTAAACCCCCACCACGCTCATATTCATTTGAAGTGCTCGTTGTTGCCTTCCTGCATTTCACTTGCTCTGCATTGCTTGTCAGTCAAGTATTTTAGATTTAGATGGCATAAATGCCGTTAAATGCGTGAATTATTTAACATAAAATAAATAGTGCTATGGACGCACTTCTTTTTACTTTACATTCTTGAGGCTACTATAAACTGCATCTGCTGGTGATGGGGTTGGGGGGTGGGTTCTTGATTAGAACACACACTGCCAAGTCCCCCCACATCGCATCATTGCATTTGATTAGCTCCAACCCCCTGCTCCCTCCCTTATCACTAGCAGCACAACGGGAGGCACCCCACACCCACACACACACACACACACACACACACACACACACACACAGATACTCACGCATATATATCACAAGCTCACTTGACAGACTTATCTGAACTCCATGGCTGCCTGCAAATGTGCAGCGGAGTAAGTGAATGCTCACAATCTCCACGCACATACACACACACACACATACACACACACATACACAAACACACACACACACACACACACACACACACACACACACACACACACACACACACACACCGGCTGCTGCAGTTATCGTGGCGGAAGGGCATCAGGTAAAGCCAGCATGGCGCTGACAGTTACCTGTCCCTAATGAAGCATTAATAAAGTGCAGCGCAAAACAGTGGATCAGAGGGAAGCTGAATCCCCCCCCCCCCCCCCCCCAACCTGCCTGGCTGTCTGCTGGCTGCCAGGGGGAGAGATGAGAGGGGAAAGGATCACTGTAATCCCCCCTCTTTCCAAAAACCCCTCTGCCCCAATTTTCAGGGAGACATCACCTGCTCTCCAGATTATTCTTCTGAAAGTTCTGTACTTCTTAGTTTGCACGATGTCAACGTTATACTCAGTAAAATGAGACCTTGCATAATTAGAATATGTTACATACGCAGAATCAATCATATGAATCAGAACATTACATTTCACAGGGGAACTTTGTTTTTGTGAAAGTTGCTTCATTCAAGAATAAAATGAGATTTCAAATAAATAAAAGAATACATATATTTTTACAAACATAAGAAGTTAAAGTAAATATTGTGCAAAAAAAATATAAAATGAAATATTATTACACATTTTTCAAAGAACAAATTCAAGTACAATGTGCAATAAAAAGAAACATAATAATCGAAACATAAGAAACAAAAGAAGTAAAGGTAAAAACGTGCACAATGTACTGTACTATAATATATAACAACAACAAATGTGTTAAAATGCCTATATTACAAAATATACAGTGGTGTTTTTGTATTAATATTGAAATAGTAATGATTAAACCATAATGGCTGGAATATCCAGTATTATTCAGTACCACTAATGCTTCAGCAGCTCTGCACTCCAAGCTGCACAGCGCATGTTATTTTATTTTCTCTAACGTGCAAATAAATGTAGTATTACTGCAAAGGTTTGCACAACTTAAAGATAAATATTGCATTTGTATGCATGCTGGAGGACAGACTCAGAGTAGCTGGCATTAAACAGATTTGTTTCAGCATTTCTCTTGAAGTCATATCTGCAGCTCGGATTGAGTGGAGGTGAAGGTGTGTATCAAGGATTGGCTACGGCACCTGAATTCACAATTAGCAGGAGGACAATGCTTCTCCAACTGGCAGGCAGCGCCGGCACTCAAACAGAGCAAACCTGCTGAGTGTAGATATTCCAGGGGGTGTGTCCATCCAAATGATGCATGCCTGTGATTAGAAAAACTTGGAGCCATTGTTCAGTTAGAGAGCCAATCAAATCCAGGTCTTACCTTGAATAACTAGCAGGAATACGTCCAAGGTGCTTTGGAAAATAAGCTGTGGGGAAATTCATGTGGATAAATCAAGTGATAGTGTTGAATAGAGCATTGCAGTAATGACGTATTTGTGTAGTTGAGCCAGAAGTTAGCATAGCAAGGGCTCCCTAAAAAAAAAAATGTTTTTTTGTAATTTTGTAGAAAGATATTTAGCAAATAGATGTTTATAATACTAGTTGAGACTGGTAATCTCCAAATATTTACACCACTTTAATGATTTTTGAAGCGTACAGTAAATATAATTGCCAGAAAGTAAAAGCAAACGCAATGCTAAAATAACCTAGTCAATAGTTGCGTGACTCATCACCGCTAAGCTAAAGGTGGCTAATGTTTGCTGTGATGACATTTTGTTGTCTCATTTACACACCTTTTAGTAACCACCTTTTTTATCACACAAAGAGCCTTCGAATGTTCACAGTGGGGTTATTTATCTACGTATTTTATGTTGTACAACAAATTGTGAAAATCTCTCATAATGCTCTGCTAATGATGGCACAGGTATTTGTTGAGTCATCGAAGCAAAAAACGTCTAAAAATACTGTTGAGTTTAAATGAAGAGGACGTACAGTAAGTGGCAAAATGCCAACTCATTCCTGGGGTTTTAGGACTCATTCCTACAGCCCTATATTGACCCCCAGAAAGTTGGCCATTCTTCGGGCTCCTCTCTACTCATAGGCTGGTGATGTCATCTCTGTTTGTGCTGGAACGCCAACTTCAGTGTCACTTTGTGTCTTTATCGCCCAGTCTATCTGTATCCTTATCTGCTTTTTCATTTCTCATTATCCTTGCCATCTAAACTCTCGCTGAGCTTTCCTCCAGCGAGAGGAGACTGATCTAATTGGCACCGAGGATCATTCTAATTTAGCGAATCCAGCTCTGCCGACTTCTCAACTCTTTTTTTGTTGCCATCTTTCACTTGATAATAATGAGAAAATATAAGCGAGAACTCCGTGACGTTTGCTTCAGCAAGCGTGTTTCTTCTTCTCTTTTGTCCTTTTTTCCATCATATGGGTTTGTTACACAGATCACATTCGCTCAAGCAATTTGCCTTCTTGTCTGAGTCTGAGAAGGGAGGCTTATCTGCACTAAACACCCCATCTAGGCCGCGCTTCGTATCCAAATGGGCCCCTGTTAGCATTCAAATCAGGAGCCCCTACCTCCGCTTCCTATTCTACGTTGCTCTTGTGCTCCTTACTGTCGCCCCCCACCCTTATTCGCTGTCAACACGCTGGTAAGGGAGGATGGCGTAGAGAGGAAGAGCAAGCCTGGGCTATTATTTAATGAGATCAAGAAGTGCGAGGAGGTTTCCTGTCACAAAGTAAACAGGTGATCTCTGGGCTTCTTTCCTCCTCTTCCTTCTCTTTTGCTCGGGAGGTGTGACTGCCGCCTTAACAACCACCAATTTACAGAAGCGCCCAAACAATGTGCTTCTACTTGGCAGGACACATGCCTACTCAAACCATCTTCAACAGCAGGTGAATCAAAACTAAATGGCTGAAGGTTATTTCTGCTATACGCTAGAGAACAAGTGCTATTTTATAAGTGGGCATTGTGTAGTGATGGTAGCGTGTGGGATTTAACAGGACTTTTTACCTGTTCTGGCAACAAGGTCATTTCCGCGGCGCCATCAGTGTGTCATTGTTCACATGATTAGACCCAATCGCTATCTAGTCATCATTGTCTGCCTCTAAAAGCACCACAGATGGCTCACAATGACTTATGATTTTCAGTCATTTCCCATGACTCTCCCCTAGTCTAGAGCTATAATTTAGTACTTTATTTTGAAGTTACTTCTGAGCTGTCTTTGTCATAAATTATGCCTAGAGCCAGTCCCTGCTGCAATACAGTACACATATAAAATGAAAAAGTGTTCGTTAGCGAGTCTCCCTCATCAAACCTCAAAAGGACTTGACAGGAGCGGGGCGGAAAAAGAAATGGTGGTAGAAAAAAAATCTGTCCTGAAGATGAGGAAAGCGAGGTGGGGGGGAATCCTTTGATCAAGAGCACTCCTCGTAGCACTACTGTCTCCTTACACATACATAATATATCTGATGCGCACATTCTAGTCCTGAAACAAAATACACAATATATGCGATTCAATATACCCATCTTCCTTTAAATTAAATTCTTCATGTTGGTTGTAACAAAAGAGGGGATAATATCAGACATGTGTAAATGTTTATTCTAAAAGTGGCAGGCTTAGGAAATGAGAGGGCTGCCGGCGCTCTCACGGGAGAGCGTGTTTGTCCATGACAGTCATAAATATGTATCACGCAGCGAGATGACAGCGATAGTAATCTGATGGCCGCCTTTTGTCAAGCATATTAATCCAGAGGAAAAGCTCGAATACGGGCGGAATTAAAAAGTTGCACCCTGTCCTATCGTTGGAGTGAGTCACTCAGCGACAAGTGGCACGCTGTTTAATTAGAGTGGAAACAAAGTCCTCCGGGGGGGAATACCTCTCTCTCTGAGTCTCATTTGTGGAAAGGAAAATATTCAGAGGGTTGCTTTTCAGCCGTGTCGATTAAAGCATGCTCGAGCATAGCAATAGAGAATGTGTTGTGAATGCAAAGCTCCTGAATCAATTGGAAACCAACTGTGTTTGTAGCAGTACACAGCTGTGGCAGTTCGTCCTTACCCAGGGGTGTCGAGCACTTTTTCAAAACCCAGAATAACTGCTCTGAGCTTCCAGCAGCCACTTAAACAAGGTGGCCTGTCATCCATGGTGCACTCCAGTGTACAGTTACAGAAGGTGTCCCGGAGTTCAGCCGCTTGACAGCTGTATTCTCCCCTCCTTTGCTTTTACTAAACCTTGTTTTCATGTCTGTGTCTCCGCCTGCAGCTCTGACGGACCCCTGCTCCGAGGTGACCTGCAGCTACGGCAGCACCTGTGCCGAGTCCTCGGACGGCGTGTCAGCTAAATGCATGTGTCCCCTCGGCTGCGAGGGCAAGCGCGAACAGACCGTGTGCGGCAGCGACGGGAAGGACTACCGCAACGAGTGTGAGCTCCATCAGCATGCCTGCAAGAACCAGAAGAACATCCGAGTGCAATACCAAGGGAACTGCGGTGAGCTGTCTCTTTATTTTGCTGATACATTCATTTAGTCTATTGGGGGTCCAGCAAAAGGAAACAAGTGGCCATTAGAGTTTGTCAAAGCACAAGGTACCAACTTTGTATTGTTATGATTTACAAAAATTACAACTAGAAAAAGCACTCATCAAAGACCAAAACAGTTGAACCTCGCTAAATTGTCCCGGCAAGATGACCACATTTGTACCATCTCATGCCATCTCAAGGGGATCATTACTTATATTGTAAGGAAATCATATTTATTGTCTATTGTTAAAAAATGTCTTTCAATGTCAGTTTTTGAGTCACGAAAAAGACCTAGCCATTTAGGAGATACCTTTTCCTATTGAAGCAGTCGGGGGGGAGTCAGTGACGGTTTAAAATCAATACAAATGTTGTTTACAAAAAGTGTGAATCACCACAACAATGAGAGGTCCTTGAGCATACAATCATCAATCAGTAAAAACAAAAAAAACGAATAATACTGTAAGGATCAATATTATTTGAGATTAGCTGTGGAAAGACAGATAAACACACACACACACACACACACAATCACCATGAACTGCCTACAGGCTTACAGCTTGCAGATATAATGATAACAAACAAGTGAAAAGCAGAAATCCCTCACATTGAGCTGCTGGACGCTCATTTTTTGGGGCACTTTTTCTTGATAAATGACAGGAATCACTACTTTTCTGTCTCCAAGATTCTCTTCTCCTTTTCTTCTTTGTTTACTACCTCTGGCTTTTTGTCTTGTTTCTCCTCCACAAACCCCCCTTACGGCACGCCTTTGCTAATTCTCATTTTTCAGTCAGGTTGCTTTGCTTCACACAGGTACTCCTGCGGTGCAAATTGTTGTTTTCTCTAAGTAGGTCTTCGCCGCTGTCGTTATCGTCGGGGCCCGGCTTTCTTTCTTTTTTTTGCTCATCCTTGTTATCATCAGGCGATAGTTGTTTACTCCCGAGGCGCTCAACTTTGAGGTTTTGTTTGTTTGTTTGAAGCCAGATGGAGGGAAAGAGAAGCAGACAGCAGCTCTGTCTCTCAGCAGCCTGAGCCTCCGGGAGACAGAGCAGCATGCTGGGGAAAGAGAGATGGATGTGCAGGTCCGCCAGCCTAAGGTTGCTCGTATAAATCCAGCCGGAGTCGGCCAATATGACCTGAGTTGGCCCAACCTCCCTGGGGAAGGCCAGGGCTTGGGGGACAAATCGGCCCTTATGGTCCTCTAAATCTCCCTGCAGCCATTTCATCTAAAGTCTCTGCTATTTCAAGTCGCTAGCCCTAGCTGGACAAAGGCGTTTGCTGCAAAGACTAGCCGTGCGTATAAATCAAACAGGCCATTCTTTTTGTAATTACCCTACTTGCTCAGCTAGACGAAAGCATGGATCCTGGAAGCTGTTCTTCTCACTTTATGGGAGGTAATGGTCTTTCTCTCAGATAATAGCCTGGCTGGCGGATGAGGCACTGCGTCATGCCGAGACGCTGCATGCATTACGATAAATACAAAAAAACCCTGTTTGCTTGGTTACTAGTCCCTGCAAGCCTTTGCATTGTGCTGATAGAAGACAATCCCAGGCCTGGCCAGAGCCGAGCGGTCACTCCGGCCTCCGAGCCCCGCCGCCGCCAAACTCCCTTTTTGTGTCTCCGCATTGTTGCTCCTTGCATCCCTGCCAGACGTCTTTGGAAACCATTTCCCCTTATTGTCTCTTTGTGTTGTCCTTTCCCGATGATAGGGTGTTTCATCCTCGGTGCGTTTTGAATAAGTCGCCGGCAGCTTGGCAGCGATTCGATAAGTCACGGTGCTACATAAATCCTTTGTCTTCCTACATGCTGAAATGCGTGGCGGGCAGGATAAAGCTCCTATAACATGAAGTCACTCCCCCCCCGTCCCGCACATCCACAAACCAATTCCATTATGATCACGGCTGATACGGCCAGCGTGCCAAGCAGACAGTCCCCTGTAAGCAGGGAGGTGCCAGGGAGCAAATCGAAGCACCGTCTCTTCATCCATTTCCTTGTCTCAACTTTACATCCAAGGTCCTATCAGCTGCTGGGCCCCTGATAGTATCTGTGGAGCCACAGTGATGGAGGGTCATGTCTGCTCTTCCCTTTCTTTGTCTTTTCCCGTCTCTTCTTTTTTCAATTTACTCGGCAAACAAAAGTTAATGCTTCCAACCGTTTTGTTGTTTACTGGCATTTAAAAAAAAGGACCTGACCACATCCTGATATATTCTAATGTTTTTTTTTCTCATGCCAAGTCATTGCTGTACTGTTTTTACAGAGGAACAAAGATTGACTGATATGTTCCTTGATTAAAGCTCTCTTTTTCAATCCCACAGGGTCTAATTAACAAGAATAGATTTTGAAATGTAATCCATGATAAAAGTGTTTGACGTTCCTGGCTTCATGAAAGTGTGTCTCTCCACAGACCCATGTAAAGACAATGAGAACAGTCTGACCACGCAGTGCCGGGTGGAGAGCATCACCCGCCAGTCCATCTTCTCTCCCCTGCCGGAGTCGTGCCCGCCGGGGGGCGAGCCTTTGTGTGCCAGTGACGGACATACATACCCCAGCGAGTGCGCCATGGAAGCAACCGGCAGGCGGAAAGGCATCAAGGTCAAGAAGATCCACAATGGGAAATGCAGAAGGGAGGGTAAGGGCCAGTTTGTTTGAAAGTCAACTGGGATGCTTCAATTTAGAACTTTTCAGAATCTTGCTCCATCATAAAGCACGGTTATTGTGGAGCGGAGGGAAGAAAAAAAAGTCTGCTAGTGGGTAGACATAAAAGGAAGTAAGGGAAAGTCACACACTCGTAACTCCAATGCAGGCTTTTTATTTTTACGTCCCACTGTTAGTCAAGCCATTTATGATTTCGCCCTTACTTTGCGTTGTTATGATAGCTATGACTTGAGCTAAATCAGCTCAATACTTTTCACAATCTAGCAACTCAAACCATCCTTTCTGAAATGTAACCCTTTATAACCAACTGATCCACCAGCAAGAATGCCCAAGCCTTGTGTTTTGGGGGGTTTTCCCTTTCCTGTAGTTTGTAGGTGTCTGTGCATGTAAACAGTCAGCAAAGTCCCACAAATGAACCAGAAAAGCATATAAGGGCCCCTTTAATTAATCTACAGTGCTCCGGAGACAACACATCTGAAGATTCAACTTAAAAACACCCCAACAATGTCATAGATTCTTAAGATATTTGCTTCCAAATGCACGACATGTGTCTACTGAACAGAAATCAGAAAACTGTATGTATGGGTTTTAGTATGCAGGAGGCAAAACAGTCACAACACATTTGCAACCCATGGTGATATGTCCAATACACATGACTTATTTCTAATATTTGATCAGGTGTACTGTAGTTGACTGTGTAACTGTGTCCCGCTGCTCGGCACAGAGATAAATCACTCCGGGGTCTTGGAGTCCGTTCTGTATCTATGCCAGCAGTAGTCTCCTCCGGCCAGACAAGAGGCTGCAGGGTTGTTATCTGTGCTATTAGAACAGGGGGTTTAAGCCTCAGTCAACACAGACCTGTCAGCTTTTACTGTACATCTGATAACCATCGGAGGAAATCCAATTTTTCCCTGCTGTGTTGTCGGCTGGGGGCCCGATAAACCTACTGTTGTGTTGATTCAGTCATGTCCTGAGACCCCCTGACAACACCAAAACCAGAATAGGTCGCTGCATGACCCCCTTTGGTACAGTCAACAAAAAAGTCTGACAAACACTTCTTAAACACACACACATCTTCCTGTCCGCTCCGCTTCACAGACAAATTCCCAGTCTGACTTTATGTTCTTGAGCAAATGGATGATCTTTTTTATTTTTTTCATTTCTTCTCTGCCTCTTTCAAATGAAAGAATGATTCAATTTAAAACAGAGATCCATGAAATCATATCCCAAAGCAAATTACAAATTGGTGTCGTAATGAAAATTGCCATTTTGACTTATAACCATGACATTACACATCCTTGTAGCCCTCTCGCTCAGATATAGCGGCGATGTAATTAAGTGTGGCATGACAGGCTTTTAAAGAAAGCAGAAGAAGGAATTGAATTGCTGTACCAATTTGATCCACTGATCAGGAATGAAATAAATTCCAAGCCTAGTGGACGCCTCCAGAACAGAGGCCTGCTTCAAATTGGATTTGCTCACTTCAATGGCAAATTTGCCGTCGCACATTAGCAGTTTTCCTTTCTTTCTTCCCAATTTATACTGTAGATTTCTGCTTAGCGAGTCAAAATGTAATGAATAAAATAGTTTAGACTTTAACTTGACCCTAAAAAATATTTAATTCCTTTGAGGTTTCTAATTTAATAAAGTTTTTGGGGAACTTTTTTCATTTAAGTTTGTGAGCATGGCAAACGTGATGCTTATCATGGCTTAACAATTACAAAGTGGGATTTTTTGGCCCAAAAATTAAGAAACTTTTCTTAAATGTAGTACACACTATCCTGAAGAGGAACTACTGCTAACTATACTTTCAAATAACATCTAAAAGGTTCATCCTCCAAAGTCTTGTTCGGTAAGAGCAATCATTACTCTCCAGAGAATTTACCTCAAGTTCACCTAATACAACATGAAAGATTTCTAAGACAACAACAAATGGACTGCTACAATAACCAGGCAAATACTCACATAAAGTAATAAAGAGAGACTCCTTTTTATGACTAGTTTTGTATCCGTACACCAGCCAGCTCTTAAACCTAATGTGTCTGATCTTAAATGTGTTATTATTACTTCTTCTATTAAAATATAATAACATTGATTTGTTTTGTTTTCTTTAGTTGTGAATAGTCCCTAATTATTCTTAAAACCACTAATACACTACAACTAACTCAATCATGGTAACATAACAGAACCGCCTTTCTGCTGCTGAAAGAAAAGCTTTTACCTGTACCAACGCATCAGTCCACCCTAACATGTAATTGCTGTTTGAATGGAAATCAAAATGTGCGCATTTTCAGACTCCTAGTTTTCTAGTTTGAAATATTTGTTTTCGCTTGCAGAGTTCTTCTGTTATCCTTTCCTCAATAGTAATCAGCCTGTCACACTTTTACCTAAATAATCCTCTGGAAACCAACTCTTAAAAATGTTTAAAGACGTGTGACAATAAAAGAGAACCTGACAGTCTTTAGTGGCAACATGTTACAATAACAAATGCTTCCATTCAAGTTTGCCGATTGGTCTACAAAAGAGAAATCCAAATAGTCTCTGGCTCAGGAGGTAAATGGTTATCCTCCAATCGGAAGGTCAGGGATTCAATCCCGATTCCCCTGAAGTCAACATGTGAATGTGTCCTTGGATACATCTCCCCAACCTGCTTCTAATGGAATGGACTCATGTGTGGAAATTAGGGTTAGGGTTAGAGCAGGTGGCGACTTTTATGGAAGCATCTGCCTCTCTAGGAATGAGTCTGAACGGGTGAAGGCTGACTTGTACATTTAAAAGCAATTTGGGGTGTCACAAAGACAAAAAAAAACACTATATAAATCTAGTCCATTTACCATTTGGACGATCCACAAATTCTATATAAATTCCCTTTTTGTCTTTCATTTCTCTGAAGCATTTTGAATTGCCTTGTGTTTAAGGGTGCTATATAAATAAACTTGCCCTGCCTTTCTCCCCGTCTCCTTCTTCCAGATGACTGTCAGGAGGAGTGTCTCTTCAACGCCGTGTGTCTGGTGGAGCAGCCGAAAGCCCGCTGCTCCTGCGACCCCATCGAGTGCGACGGAACCTACAAGCCCGTGTGCGGCAAGGACGGCCAGACCTACACCAACGACTGCATGCGACGCAAGACCGAGTGTCTGAGCAAGACCCTCATCTCCATCAAGCACCAGGGGCCCTGTGGTGAGTGGAGCCGGAGGAAGAGAAAGGAACTCTCCCTGCTTACTTTTAATGTATATTCAATGTGTGTTTTCCCTAGGCCAACTGTTTGTATGTCTGTGCTTTACTGAGAAACGGTTCAGTGATGCTCTTTGAAGAAGGGGGGTTTGTTGGGGAAACTCAAGCCGACTGTGTGCCTTCTTTACAAAAAAAACCCGGTGCCTTCACTCCTCCACCTCCCATCCATCTCCTCATCCCTGTCACGCTCCATCCCTCCATCTCAAACTAAATGAAACGCCACCTTCATGTTTCATTCATTCACACTCTGTTTTCTACTCTTTCACCAGTGCAAGTCTTCCACTTTGGTGGCTTTTGTCGTATTTTTCCCTCCCTCCTCTTCTGTATTTGTCTCTTGTGTGTTGCTTATTCTTGTATATAAAAAAAGCTATTCTTTCTTGTTTCAGTGCGTCACTCAGTCTGTCTGTCTGTCTTTGTCCCTGTGGTCGTCCTCCTGGCTGTCTGGCTGCAGGTGGAAAGTGGGGTCACCCAGTGGGCGACCTCATCAGGTGGATTCTGAGGGGTGAAGCCCTCCCCCCTCGCTCCCAAAGGACCTAACAGCAGGGGTCTTGTACAGCTGTCTTTTTCCTCTCGCTCCTTCTGTCTCTTTGTGTCATCAATGTCCTTTCCGTCTGTTTACTCGCTGAAAAGATGTGATCCGTGAGGTTGGAGAAGTCTTCCTCTGTCCCTGCTCTCTGTGCTTTATTTCCTGTCAACAAAAACAACTCCTCCTGTTCCTACCTGCCTTAACACCGCTCACATCTGACTCCTGTTTTTCTGCATGCAGAGAAATGCATGCAAGCTCTTAAACTCACAACCCCTCTCAACATCACCTCATAAAACTTGCACCTGGCCAACGAATGCAAAAATATCCATATTTTTTGCCATTTCTGAGATTAAAACCATCACTATGGTTGTAGTTTGACTGCATTCCTTCTAATGCTATGGTTAGGTTGGAATCCCTTATTTCCGCTTCTTTAAGGTTTGAGTTACAGTATGATTCAAAAATAATTTAGCTAAAGCAAAATCATTTTTAAAACATTAGCATTAAATGTGAAAAATCTTGGGTAAACTTAATTAGGCCATTATTTAATTAAAATTGCAAACAACTATTGGTAGGTGTCCATTCGGGAGTCGAATAGGCTTGAACAGATGTGTTGACTTGACAGAAATGATTACATTTGAAAAACAGTTGTCAAATTTCCTGTGACATCATTCACAGATTTCCCACTTTTCGCACCTAAACTGTACTCTATGTATTCATTTAACAGTCAAACCTCTAACTAACGTTTTCTAACTTAGAATTAATGATGATTTTTTACATTCATTCTGATCTTCCTTCCTGAGAAAAGTAACATCTTTAAAGATCTTTGACAGTAATCTATGCCTTTGAATTGGGTGTACCTTCACGTTAGCACCTCTTAATAAGTGAGTTTTGACGGCTGATCTTGTAGTATTCTAACCATCTCCTGAATTAGAACCGTTTTTGTTGTTTCCCATCATAACCCCATACCCCAGCATGCATGATAAACCCGAAGCTTGTGCGGCTTGGTGTCATACATAACACCTCAACCAACAAATCCACGCAGCAGACACGGAGTGTTATTTTGTCCTGAGTGTCCCTCCACACTGCCATTGTTGTTGTGATAAAACCAGTGAGATGTGTCTGTCCCCCAGGCGTCAGGGTGGAGCTGAATACCAAAGTTATCTCCAGTTGTCAGCATCGGGAGGCTCCAGCTCTCATTAGCATTATTTGTCTATCTGCGCTGTGCATAAATTAAATACGGGGAACCGGCAGTGCGAGCTCTTATGTGTTTTGCTCCGTTTCATTATTTCTGCCAAGTGGTGTTTCAGCCTCCCCTTCCTCCCTCATTTATTTAGTTATTTTACATGCCTTCTCTCTCTTTATCCTTCCTCCCTTCCCTTGCGCATCGCAGCCGTCAGCGACTGGTTGTATGTTTCTTTAATGCATTTTTATTGACATTTGCATATTTTTCAAAACACAGCGCCACAAACGCCCCCTCCCTCTATTCGGTTTTAATTAAACATCAGAAGAGGCGAGCGTAGGTGCCCACAGAGACTGTTGGTTTAGTCAGACAGATGATATGCAGGCATGTGTGTGTGTTTGTCCATGCACATGTTAGAACTTTCTTTCTTACTTTCTTTCAGTCTTCTTTCTCCGTCCCCGATCTTTCTATGTTTCTTACTGTCAGTGTTTTATCACACTTAACGCAAAAGGTTTTTTAGGCTCAGCTGAATTAATCTGGTTAACTACAGCGGTACGAGCCAAAGCAATCAGATTTTGTTGTGATTTAATTGCAATTAACGTATCAAAAGAATGCCGTAATGCCAAATTGTGTTAAAAAAAAAAGTCTGAATTCATGCTTTTTGGGGGCTGTCAGCAAGAGAACAAGCAAACAAATTGTTAATTGTTTAATTTCTGGAAAGAGTTCATCAAAATATAAAATAATGTCAGTTACATTTGTCATAAAATGAGAGCAGCATGATTGACTAGAAATTTAAAAACTCACTGGCATTTAAAACATACAAGACATCTTTAACGACTTTTTTCCTCTAATTAAGATTGATTCAAGAAAGTCCGGAGAACCAGACGTTGATAGGCTTTCGCCAGAGTGTCACGCAAATAAATTAATGGAGAATAAATACAGGGCGTAAATAGCGCTTCATGGCACACATTTGTGTATTTTCATTTAATAAGTAAACACACTATTAGAAGGATTAAGTCAAAGTTACAGAGACATAAAAAAAGCACTTTCCAAAAACGGATGAATGCAATATGAGATTTGTGTTCGGTGCGTCTTTCTATCTTCTGAAAAGCCTGCCTTGTCAGAGATGGATCAATAGCCCACACTGATCACACACTGTATACAATGTGGGACACACACACTTCTATTGTGCTCTATTGTGCTTGTACTCTGACAGTGACTGGCAGTGTCAAAAGAAGCCTCCACAATGCTCGCTGTGTGATCGTGGCACACAGATTTTGAAGGCTTCAGGCAAACTTTCATGCATCTGCAAAGGAAGAGTTTGATATATTAAATTATCATTATTTGATAAATAACGATCCCCCTCCTTGTTTCATTGGCTGAGTGGTGCGTCGGGGCCGGGTGATCGATCGCCCTGTCAGCTGTCAAACGGATGAAATTCTCCAGTTCTGGCACCGTCGTAAATCTACTTTCCTGTGGTTGACAGCGCCCTAATATCAACCCCTCCCCCCTCCCATGTCAACCCTCGCCTCCACAAAGAATGGTCATGCAACACATGTCTATATTTCCCGACTGCTGTCCTCCCCGGAACTATTTGATTGATATCTAAAGCTGGTCAATTTACAGATTGAGATGCATGGCGTTTAGCTGATTAACTTACATCCAGGCGGAGTCACAAATCTTTTCCTTGAATCTTAAGTGCCGTGACACTTAAGAAAGAAAATATATTTCATCACCAAAGAGGCAGCTGGTTTGGCATCCAAATCAACAGTTGTGATTCCTTTCTACTCTGGACTTTATTTCATCACGTTTCATCATACAGAACATTTTAAGCTTAAGTAAAAGTCCTGTTTTTTTTATTCTCCCTTACTTGTATGATGTCAGCACAGCAGGGCAGCAGCACGAAATAAACATGGAAGTGTGCGTGCAGGGTTGGATGATATTGTTGCAGTTTTCTATTTAGAGGACCAAACAATAGTGGTACATTGGCACGCTAACGTTTTCAAAGACTCAAATAATTTGTTTCTTGCTTCCTTATTTGGTTGGTTCTTTCAAGGCTCATCAAAAGGATTCTTATATTTCGGCTTTAAAGCTGGAAAATGCTGATAAGTCAGGAAAAGACAGAAAGTAGTCCACATCTACCGTGCTTTCCCCAATAATGATCAAAATGGCTTAGTGGGTCCTCAACTCCTCATTGCACCTGTGTGTAATGTACTCTGCTTAATGTGCTTTTGCTTGGACCAGAGATATAGTGCTTGCAGCTTTATGTAAAGATATTCGGAGCTGCAGCGTGAGTAATGAAGCTTTGAAAGGACATGGTTCAATCACCGTGAAGAGTTGTCCCTAACCTGGTTGTGTAAGTGTGTGTGTTTAAGTATAAGAGAGTGAACTGATCTAACAGAAAAAAAACAGCCAAATATATGAGAGTTATTCACAAACGACTTACAGTAGTCTACTCAGAAGCAAAGTTGTTCACTCAAAACTTCTTTAGGCTAAAAAACAACAACATTTGTTTTCTTTGTCTTGGCTCAAGTTATATCACTCCCTGCTTCTTTCCCAGAATGAGTTTTTTCTTCTTTATTTGCCTCTTCAGGCTATTTTAGGGCATATTCAGTAGCACTTTTAATCAATTGAAGCTGTGGCTCACCACAACTCCTTGGAGCCTGTCGACGTACTGGCCTCGCGTCTGGTGTTAGCAGAATAGAAAATGGAGAGTCCCTTAATTGGTAGTTCATGAAGCATAGATACAAGCCGCAGTTGGGCTTTTAAGACGAGGACAATTATTTCAAAAAACACTGAAACACACAGTAAACTAAGTGTGAACAAACGAAAGAGGCTAGTTTTTCTGGGCAAATAAATCTCTTTTCACAGCTTTTTTTACATGTTCTGTGTGCACAGCTGAGTATGCATTTTTGATTGCAAGTGCAGAAGAAGAAAAATTAACTAAAGGAAGTGCGAGCGAGTTGCTTGAAATGTGTCATCTGTCGCCTTCGGAGGTTAACGTGAAATCACTCAACGGCAGACACATTGTCATTGACAAAGAGCTTTGCAAAGCGGGAAAGGAAATGCAGTCACCTTAGGTGTCAAAACTCTGTGAAGAATATTTTATTATTTGCATGTTTATTTGATTAGCATCTCTGCCGGCTGCAGTGATTGGACACAGTCGGCGGCTCGGGTACTGTATGTGAGTCAGCCTGAGATCACTAGTGCTGTTTTTCCTAATCAAGTTAATTAGAGGAAGTGCCGAGGGAGCCGGATTGACAGCAGCCAGGGAGTGCCGGTCCACTTACTGCGGCCTGCGGGCTGCCATCCAGCAGAATTTGACGAGGATTGTGGGTCAACAGGGTGCCGTCAGTGACTCGAAGCGTAGTCGGTGTCATCAACCAAACAGTCCGCCAATTTATTTGATTTCATTTCCTGTTTCCTCTGCTCTAGCTCTCCAGACTTAATTAAACGTGTAATAAGCACAGTCGTTTTCATTTTCTCTTATGTTTGCTTTTGTATCAAATCGAGAAATCATATTTTAAACTTCCTGTGTCACAATCCTCGAGGATAATATCGCTCGTTTTGGATTCCTTTTTAGACGTCATCTCACCTCTGATGGATACATGTCACAAAAACCAGGGATCCCAGCATGCCTTTCTTCTTTCCCCCTCGCAGTTTTTTGCTTGTCACCATATTTGAAGAGCAGCGTGTTCCTATCTGTGATATGTACAGAGCCCCCCTCCTGCCTGTGATAACTGTTCACTAGTAGACAGACACAGCCCGCGGGTATCCCTTTTGCTGTATGCTAATATAGCCTTTTGTCTGCACCTCCCTTTCCCCTCGACTAATATAATACATAAATGTTTTTAATGTGAGGGAGGCAAAGGGACTCGGATCAAAGCCCTGCAGGTGAAAATCACAGAGGGCGGGGCACGATGAAGATTGGAGTCCCGCGTTGTGATAGGTTGTTGGTGATTCTCCCTGCCAGTTGGCTACTACAAGCATCACCTGGATTACACCGATTCACTGCCCCGCAAAAAAAAAAACAGGCAGCAATTTGGAATTGCACACAGACCCGAGGGGGGAAAAGTCCAATTTACATATGTATGAGCTGAGCGGAGATGGGAGGAAGCTCTCGCCAAAATAATCTCCCAGCATTTCAGCGACATGTTACGGGGAGGGGGTTAACAGTGCGCCTGCTCACTGCAGCAATGGCAGACAGTGCTGTGCCATCACGGCCACCTTACAGGGGATTTGTTAAGCTTTAGAAGTGGCTTTACCAGTCAGATAACATCATTAAGAGGGTGGTAATGATAATGAGGGCATATATCAATATCGGACGAACATGTCCTTTCAATTTTTTCATCCAAGACCTCTCGTGTTGATATAGCATGGCCTAACCTGTAGTAATCCCCTCTGTGGCCTGAAGCAGGGTCGTGCCATTCAAATACCACACTAATTAAGAAAGAGAAGTTACACAGCCGCTGGCAGTGAGGAGACACACTCAGGTGACACCCAGAATGTAAAGTCTCTTCCACTAGCCTCATGGTACAGGAACATACTGTAGCAGAGTGCACAGTTGCACAGCAGAATCCCTGATTAGAAGAAATATTCATGATTTTTTTCACAGTTTGCTCCTGACTTTTCCCCAGCCCACTCACTGCACCTGCTCAGCCACTAAAAGAATGCCTCGGCCACCAGGCTTATCACGTGTTTGGCACTGCAGATGTTCCCATTCAACTGTCAAGCTAATTCCCTCATAGAAATAAAAATAGCTTGGTTTAAACCCGGCAACTCGGGTTTGTTCTGGACCTAGCTGACAAAAACACTGATACATGCATGAAGAAGATTGCATTTAAGTGTCTGGGAGGCAACCAGTGAGAGAGAAAGAGCTGGAACAGGCTTCTGAACAACATCCCACAAGCCTTAGTTGTGACAGGCTGCCATTTCAAAGCTCCTGCTTGCAACCAAGAGAAAGACAGCTTTTTAACTGTGTCATAAGATTGTTACACTTGGGGAATTTTGTCATGTCTTTCTTTTTTTTCTTACACCCTTTCCACTTAATAAATCAGGCAGAAATGGTCCTCCCCAGAGGATGATAAAAAAAATTAGTTTTGGAGGGGTATTTTCTTTAATCTGTTTTATGGGTGTGAAACAAAGAGAAAAGGAGACTAAGGCGTTATCAGAGGCTGCAGTTGTGTTTGAGGAGCCCGTCCTTGTGAAGTGGGCTGGTGAACTTTTATGCAGACCAAGGTTGCGCGGTTAAGCCCGGATCACAGGCTTACGACTGTTACACACACACACACACACACACTTTCAGACACATGTGAGGAAGTCGGTAAGACATCACGGGAACTCAATTGTTTTTGAAGGTGCGCCAAATTAAGCATCATTGAGAAGCTTACATATTTGTGTAGCACCTCCAAGCTCTTTAGAGACAGCAGCTTGGTATTCAAACACAAAAAACAATAGATGTCTTCCGCCTTCTAAGTATGGAAGATTTGCTTCAAAAATGGGGTCCTTGCTCGACATCCAGAAATATTTGTTAAGCCAAAAGTTAGCAGTAAAAATAGTAGGAGATAATGGAAAACCATACACTGTATATATGACGAGGGCGTAGTCACCAATTGGTGCGTAGACTTTTGCTTTGGTGTTTGGTGTTGTTTTTGGACTACCAAAAGTGCCTTTATTAAAATAAAAGTATTGGAAGGGGGAGACAGAGGGGATGACGAGCATCAAATGGTCCCAGGACAGATTCCAATCCGGGTCGTCCGCATGTACATGGGTCACCAGCTCCACCAACTGAGCTAAATGACGGCCATCTTGGTTTTCTTTTGCCTCCAGACAAAGTTAGTGTCTAAAGTTGTAAGAAAAATGTTGGCAATAACAAAGACCAAAAAGAATCATGTGTTAAAGAAAGCATACCTTAAATCCTTAAACATACCCAGCTTTCTAGTATAATTATTTGTTAATGAGACCTTAATTAGCTAAATTAATATCAACCTGTAATGAGAAACCCTTGGAACCAGAAACTAAAACTGTAAACTTACTAGGAAAATGTTCCCTGGGTGAATTAATCAAGTGATAATTAGGGTCATTTTCTCATAGACTTCTAGAAAAAAAAAACAGAATAGAATAATTTTTGCAACCACTATTTTGACTTCACTTTTCAAGCGAGATTGCTTCTTATGGATAATCTTCAGTATACAAACCTTTTTACACTAAACCTCAGTTGTAAAGTTTTAAAGTTAAGATGAGCAGGTAACAATTGCATTACCTATCCCATTGCTTCAATCAACGTAAAACAACGTAATGGCCTCCGTTGATCATTTACCCCAGCATAGGCGCTACTACTGAACGATCCTGAGCTGATACATTAATCATGAGGCTCCAAAACATGACAAGTTGCCCCCTGTGATGCCATCTAATCCCATAATAGTCGCAATAATGATGGAGCCATGGGTGGTGTCATTACAAGGGGCAGTTTCCATGACAGCAACCCCAACCCCTCTAACAGAAGCTAAAATAAAAGACCAGAAAAGGAGGAAGTTTGCTTGACATTCTGTTTAAAATGCACCTCTTTGAGCACTTCTCATCAGAAATGATTTGATGCCTTCCTCTGCTTTTTCCACCAATCTGCAGACACACCACATTTAGCTGAGTGATCCGCCCCTCAGGCGTGAAGCTTCCCAAATGAAAATTGCATTGGATTCCGCTTATCGTCTCTTGCTTACCCTTGATACCAGAGTGTATACCGTCCTGACGTAAGGCTCAGACTTTAACCATCAACCCAAGCACCACCACGCCATATAATATTTGTTATTGACACATGAAGCTTTCAAGAATTGATTGTGTCAGGACGGTACGCCATGATCAAAGAGTTCTTCGTAGCCTTTTTCTCCACTCTCTCCTGATCATGTCAAGTTATATCAGCCAAGCCGACACCCATTTTCCCACCACTGAGAATCATAGGTGCAAAACCCAGTCCTGGTTTTAATGAAGTCCTGCTGGAGCTTTGTGCGTGAGAGGGAGAGACTGAAGCAGACACCTCTCTGTGATGTTCACATTTCATATCTGCCTCAGCCCAGGAGCTTGCCTTTTGTGAATTATTAAGCAGAGGGCTCTTTCTTCTCTTCTACTCTTCTTTTCTTTTCCTCTGCAGTTTCTCTCACACACACCTCTTTTTCCCGCTCCTCCGTGTCAGTTCAAGCAGCTTTGGCTGAAGCGGTGGCTCTCACTGAGATGCAAATGACTTTCTTTGAAGGGGCACATTGGGAACGTCAATTAATCCGGGCGTTTATTGCCCCCCAAAAAAAGGAAATGTGCAGCCATTGTTTGTAGGCCGTTTCATCTCAGTTGTGCTACGGGGCTAGCTTTTTTTATCCTCTTCCCTTGTGCCATCGGATTCTTTAAAGATTCAGGATACATCAGGGTAGTCACAAAGGTGTGGAAATGACAGTAGGAAGCAGAGGTGTCACAGAAACACAGATGTACTGCATATTACATCATATCGCCTATACCTCCCTTTCTAACAACCAACCTGCAGTTCCCCGTGTAGCTACGCTCTAACACACCTCCCTGTGACCTTTGCCCTTTCCAGTCCCAGACCTCTCTCCAACCTCTACCATGTATTCTCCTCACTTCCCATCAACCCAGTCCAATATCCCCCTCCTCTAACTCTGCTCTCTATGCCTTCGGCCTTCAGATCTCAGCATACCGAGCCCCTGCCTTGTTAAGGTGTGTGATCACGGGGCGGTGTGTGTGGTTGAAAACGACGTGCCGGTGTGCGAATGCCCCGAGGCCTGCCCGCAAACATCAGACCCTGTGTGTGGATCCGACAGCCACAGCTACGGGAGCCCCTGTGAAATGAGAGCGATGGGTTGCGCCCTGCAGAAGACCATTCACATCCAGCACAAAGGACCCTGTGGTGAGTAGCCGCAACACAGTCACATTACATTACACAGTAATTCACCGTTCACTCATTGAATCACTATGAAACTGTGAATTATAGCTCACAGGTAGGGAAAGATGTCTCCTTGTGGAATATAATTAGGATCAAATTAATTAATGGTGCTACATTACCCACAGGCAGAATTATATTGCTCAGACATTAACAATGAACATATATGGAATTATAATCATGGTGACCCCCTCAGGGCTTCCCTTTCATATCCAACAAAGTCAAAACAGTTCGTCATACAGCTTTAGGTCTCTCAATACTACAGGTGAATAAGGAAAATATGTAATAGATATCATCATGAAACTCCCCGTGTTGATTACACACTTCAAGGCAATTATGTTTAGTATTACAAGTTTCAATTTTGTTTGACATTTTATGTTTACATGTTTAAATAAGTTTGTACTAATTTGCATAGATTCCCAGTACAGAAATCTGAAAATTGGGAAATTATTGTTTTATTTTGTTGACAAGTTATAGTCAAAGGTCTTCACTGAAGAAGTTAAGAATATCTTTTTGTATCACTCCATAAATACAAATTATGTCAAAAGCCATTACAAAAATGATGCAGATGTTATATAGGTCTGGCTATGAATGAAACACAATAAACAAAACAAAGACAATTGAGAAACGGTATTTAAAGATTTGTGTTTTTGAAACTTTTTGTATAAAAAATGTTTCTTAAAAATATGAATAAGGCATTGCTTTTTCGTGAATTATGCAGAGATTTAAAGTCATAGCTAGACAATGTTTGTATAATAAACACCTTCATTTTATCTTTCCACATTAAGTAGAATAGCCCAAACTTTTGAAATCGACCAGTGTAGAAAAACCTTTAGTTTCTCGCCTTAATGCATCTCTTATCCGTGGTCCATTACTCTTCATCTCTCTCCTCCTGCTCTTCTTCAGCCCTTCCATAACAACAACAACAACAACAACAACAACAACAACAACAACAACAACTACAACAACAACAACAACACTCTGATTTGCCTGTTTTGACCTTTAAGTAAAGATGCACTTTACTCCTGCTGAAAGAGAATACCAACCGTACTGATCCACGTTGGCTACATGAGGCACTTGGCTTTGTCTCCAATGTCCGAGTATCAGAGAGTCATTAGCACATCAGCCACAGCAGAGCTGGTAAAAAATATCTTCAGATCCACTATGCAGGCACACAGCCATGCGGGCAGATTTCTTACAGCTTGGTAGACCCACTTAGAGAAAACTCTTAATGGCTTAATGCCATTTTAGAAGGCCAATTTTCCCATGGACTCTAATTAGTGAATGAGTATTCTTCCTTGTCTACCATCCAGCCCTTTGCTTTTCACACACGCTGGGCAGAAGCACAGCGGTTATTAGCCCCTTGGCCGGACTCTCTATGCTACCTCATTCACTGTTTTCCTACAATAGCCTTTTTTTTCTTCCTGCATATTTTGAAGACCATAATTATAAAAATGTGTCGCCCTCTGCGGTGTTATGCTTGCTGAGGAGCTGAGCAGTTAGCTGAATGATCATAACTTAGTCTGATATAAAATCGCACTCTTCTGGTTTGTCCTCAAATGTGCGGTTTATAGGTTGAGTTTGTTTATCCAGACTAGTGTTTTTTTTATAGTGTTTTGAGTCTCTGTTCTGAGAAGATGACAGGGTTCGTTTTTGGAACCCCCCCCTGCGCTCCCTCTCTGCCTGCCCGCGTGTTGCATCTGTCATCTTCCCCCTACCAGCATCCACTAAATTGAAATCCAGCGCAAGGATGTATGCCAACAGGAAATGGAGCGAAAGCAGTGTTTGGTCGGTGGGCAGACTCAATTTGGTGCGCAGGTAGACGACAGGTCTGTCGGCCGCTGGTCCCACGGCAGTAATGAATAGTCTTTATTTTAAAAAGCGGGAAGCAGAGCAAGTTGGCGGAGCGGGGGGGAATGTCTGTTATCCAGCACTATGGATGGTTCTTGGCTCCCATAGGAAGCAGGCCTGCGTCAGCGCAATGGTGCCATAAAAACGCTGAGGCATTGGCTTGCCAGGCGCGAGCCAGCCGAGGAATGATGGCAATGGTAATGGGGGTTATTTCTGGGCTGTTTGCACAGCTTTACTGGGCCTCATTCAGCACCATAACAACTGACTGACTTAAGCTATTATCTCACCTAATTATCGCAGGCTATTCCTCCAAGTAATATACTATACATGTTTATGTAGCAGAAAGGGAGAGAAAGGGAAGGAGCATATGCCGCCTTCAGGTACTGTGAAGCATCTGAATTTAAAGTTGAAGTCACGAGCAACGGAATAATGTGGCAAACTTCAAAATGGTTTTATTTGTATAACTTGTTTTGTTACTTTCATCCAAACGCATTTATTTAGCTTCCAAACCCAAAAGTAGGGGCTTAAGGAAGGCAGGTGAGGGCAGTAAGGGTTTAGGAGGTTGCCCTGACTTGGCATGTGCGCTTAAATGTGTGTGTATATGTGTGTGTGTAGCTTTCCACAGCTCCTCATGGGCAAAGCCGTCATTTAATTTCCTTCGCTGCGAGCTGGAAAAATAGCGGTTATCTATATGGCCCAGGTGCTAACCTGATAGCAATATGAGTGAGATTACTTATTATTCTCAGATTCTTTCCTCCTCTTGCATTTTAGTGGAGGGGCGACCTTGTAACATGGGCAGGCCCGGTTAATAGACCCCCTCAGCTGGATATCAGACGCCTTGAAAAAAGGGTCCATTCATACGGCTTTACCCAAATAGATGAGGGCAGAGGCAACAAATTCACCCCTTTTTTCTCCCACAGGTGTTTGAAATGATATACACCATTGAGTAAGAAATATAGGTTATAACAGCAGCATGAGAGCGGCTGGAAAGAGGGAGGGGAAAGTAATAAATACTGGGAGGGGGGAGGAGACGGAAGTAAATAAGATAAAGAGAAGCAGAGCAAGTGGGGGGGCAGAGTTAATAGTGTAGCGGCCGGGCAGGCATCGACTGGGGTGTTGTTATCACCCGGGCATGTTCAGAATCCTTCAAAACACAAACCAGCCTACTCCTTTCTGCTTAAACTCTCCGCCTAGACCCCCTCAGCCACAAATTCAGGTTGTTCCCCAGTGAGGGATATCAACAAAACGCTGCAAAGCTGGAGGGTCTTTGATTTATTTTTTTCACCTCCTCAATGACTCAATCCTTCATGCCTTCAATGCCTCTTTTTATATCAACCTGCCAGTATTTCTCACCCTCACTTCCAAGAGCAGTGCTAACAAAGCTGTCACAAAGCAACAACAAACATTAGCAACTTTTTGTCAAGGGGACTTGAAGGGGACTCTACCTAAATTCCTATCAAAAGTTTGACAAGGCAAGAAATGGGGAGAAGATTGATGACGTAAAAAGATAATTGATGTTAATATACAGCATCTTTGTGTTAAGAGTGACCGATAGTAGTCCTTTGTTTACTTCCGTGACATAGTTAAATCAGTCCGCAACACTCGCCCTGCTATTGGCTAGCGTTCCAACACATTGTACATGATAAGGGCTAAGGGGCGGGATATCTCTAAGTAGTTGACCAATCACAACAGAGCTGGCCAGCTAATCAGAGCAGACTGGGCTCTGGTTTCAGACAGAGGGTGAAAAGAGGTGCTTCAGCCCAGGCAGTATGAGAGAAATAAAGACCTTTTTGAACATTAAATCATGAGAGACATGTCACAGTAGTTGCACAACATTTTAATATGTACCCTGAATAATAGCGTAATATTGCCCCCTTTAATGAACACAGTAGCTTCCTAATTAAAAAAATCCTCAGTGTGTGAGTATAACAGGCAACGTTAAAGAACCATGTCAAAAACAAATTCTTGAATACACAAAATACAAATATGAATCTAAACATTTGCAATTGAACCCCTTTTTGTTATGAATAGCGCACAAATATTCTCAAACTTTTATGATCTGGGCACCAGTTTTGGCTCAGATTCATACGCCAGAAGCCATTTAACGGCCAGAGACAGGTCCTATTTGGTGCATCCGGACTGAATCAGGTGCTTTGGATTCAGTTGGTATTATATTTCATTAGAACTACCATAAGAAGGTCTTAAAATATCTTACTTTGATCTCGGTCACACTAAGTTGTACCGTACATATTACTGGCTAGAGAGATGTGTGCATTGGTGGACATGAAAGTACATTTAAATGAGATGAGCACATTAGAACCCATCGTGATGCCTTGCCTGCCAGACTTTTTACCTTAAAGTCTCATCATTTCATGCTTGTGAAGTTCTGAAGTAAAAAATTCACTAAAACTCAGATTTGTAGATAACTTAATCTGAGATGACACGAAATGGACATCTTAACATTGCCAGTAATGGCGACAATTCTCCCCTCTGCTCTTGGCTTTGAACTCCAACTCCTCTCCTTTTCCGTGTGTTTGCGGTGTTGTCTGGAGGATCGTGCGGAGCCAGGTGCCGGGGACATGAGCAGATAAATAGGCGAGGTTGCTATCAGGACACAAGGCCTGATAACGGGCAACTCTCGGCACCGCCACTTCCTGATGTATAGCTCCCACAGCCAAAGAGGAACCACACCAATTCCCATTTGACATATTATGTTTATTTATTTACTTTACAGGGGGAAGATTATAAATGCTTTAAGATGTTAAAACAGGAAGCTTGCCCACAAACACCCTCAACAGCCAAACTAGAAATACACATTGTTTTAACAAAAAGAAAAAGATCCTGGATGCTCTTCTCATGCAAGTATAACATTTGTAATTTGAGTAATATAGGAATATATTGCTCCTACGGGCAACATACTGTTTGTTCAGTTCTCAGTCTAGGCTCCTATTCGAAGAAGAGAGTGGATGCCAGCACTAGATGGAGAAGCAATAGAAGACTCTCAAAGAGTAATACACAGATTAATAATGTGGAAAGAGAGTTCCAGCGGCCAGCCTCGTCTCTCTCAATTAGTGTGAAATCAGCAGCGGTTATTAGCTTGCCCCTAATTGAATGTGATAGCGAGCTGGGCTAATGCAATCCTCCAGGTGTAATTGGTGTCAGAGGGATAGGCGCATCATACTGCCTGTCTGCTGCTTACGAGGCCTTGCATTTGCCTTCTCATTTGTTTCCCGGCCCCATGCAACATCAATACCCTGAACATCCCATCCTGCCTTGCTGTTTCCTCCAACTTATAAGCTCTCTAAGTCTGTTTTGGCAAGAAAATACAGATGATAGTGGGAAAGTGGCATATTGATAAGCAACTTTCCAAAGGGAGGCCGACTGTGCATTGAGAGAGACGCGCTGCAGTTTCAAAAACAATGCAAAAATAAAAACACAAATGTGCCAAAACACATACAAATGAAGAAACATCTTCACTGGCTTACAATGCGTTTACTAGAAGCACTGCATAAGAAAAAGGTGACAGGAGCGTATTTTTAGCGTTAGAATCATGCGATAACATTGTTAAAATAAATGTAAATGTTAGATCACTTTCCAGTGACAGTGACAGTTGGCCAACTTTATAATACCTGAATGTCAACAAGCGCTCCGGTCCCAGCTCTTTGCATCACTTTTGTGTGTCCTTGTTTCTGTTGTGTGTCGTCAAGCTGGTGAATTGATTCTAAATGCTGCACATGTGTTGTCAAGTTGGTGAATTTGCATGTATTTTGGCACATTTAAGATTCTTTATTTTGCATCGTTTTTTAAACGGCAGGACATTTCTCATAATGGAAATGTTTCGGGCAATTATAGCGAGTTTGCACCTGTCGGCCACCGTAGGAATGCAACTAGAAAAGTGTGTATTTTCTGATTCACTTCCCAAAGCTATTGCAGTACCTGCTGCTCAGAATTCCCCCAAAGGACAGTGCTGTCATGGTGATGAGCACTACCTGGCTGTCACTAGATATACAGCAATTGGCATTCAAGCCAAAGAGTTCAATTATTGTCCCATCAGACCAGAAAATCCTTTCCATCATGCTTTCAGAGTCCTTTAAGTGTCGATTGGCAAACTCCCGCTTTGCTGTCTTGTGGCCTTTTTCTCAGAAGTACCAGTTCGGACTCCTTTCTCCCGTAATGTCCTGATTGATGTAGTGCTGAAAAGACGGTTGTCCTTCTGCCAGCTTCTACTATTTTTGTGAAATGCCTGAAGCTTTTTGTGTTCGGTTATTTACTGTCAGCTAAAGAGAGGGAAGTTTTGGGTAGTTCAAACATTTCTTCAGTGATGGAGCCCACTGTGCTTCCTGGAATCTTTCAGCACTTTGGGAGCATTTTTTCCCCCCTTCATCTGCGGAGAGTTATTTTGAATTTCATGGCTCGGTTTTGAGTGCACACATGCATCTGAACCGTGACACATTCTAATAGAGAGGTGTGTGCCTTTCCAAAGTATTTCAAATCAATTGAATCTGTCCCAGGTGGACTCCAATAAAGTGTTACATCCATTCTACACGGAGGACCCAGTTCACAAACGTTTTTTGGCAGATGCTAGAGCTGTACAAATAAGACCAAAAGAAACTGTAATTCTCAATCATTGCTATTGCACTTATTTAAATGAGGTAAAATGGTGTGACACCTTTGGATATATGGCAAAAACTGTCCAATCCACATGGCATGGCAGTGATCATGGCAGTGTTTGTTGTAGCCAGGCGATAGCTCAAACTCATTTATTCAGATCCAGTGACAAAATGCAATGACAGTTGTGTCTTGAAAAATAAATGAAAAAAGCTGCTCTACCTGTCATTTTTGAAAATACCAATAATAGAATATAATTTTCTAAACAAATAAACTCATTATTTATAAGGCACATTGCATGCAGATTCAAAACGTAGTGGGTGTTCATGCCCTGTAATGTCATTATCTTTTGTAAATTAGACCTTGATATGAGGCAGATACTGTAGCAGTTGCAAATGATGCACAATTCATCTTCTCATCAGCGGCCACAATCCATTTTGGGGAATTCACCCCTCAGTATGGAAACTTTGCATCTCTGCACTTCTCCTATTTCTGCATCATTAAGCACTACGCCTGCTGTCAGAATCACAACTTGTCAAGAAAGACAACAAATCATTTTCACCAATTAGTTACCGTAGTTAAATGGCTGTCAAAATGAGGAGTCAATATATGATTTCTGCCACTGTTAACAGCATGTTACTGCTATCTTTATGCCGCAATAACATTATTTTTGATAGAAGTTGCTATTGTGTTGACCATAAAAGTGCTTACAAATAAATGTTCCGCCTATATTATATAAAATATAAAAATGTAGAGTTAAAGATGTGTAGTCAGGCCATGTATTAATTACATGCAAGAAACTAGCAACAAAACACACTGAAACACACACATCAACACACGTACTGAGCCTTCACCTTCTTCTTTATCTCCATCTAGATGACTCTTGTGCCAACTGCTCTTTCGGGGCAATCTGCGATGCCCAGAGCGGGCAGTGTGTGTGTGCGTCGGAGTGTGTGAAGTCCCACCAGCCTGTGTGTGGCAGCGACGGAAGCACCTACAACAGCGAGTGTGAGCTGCACGTGCGCGCCTGCAAACAACAGATGGACCTCCGAGTGGTCAGCCAGGGCGAGTGCAGTAAGTAACATTTATACAGTGTCATCAGAACCAGAAGCAGGTTTATAATAGTGCAGTGATGACGTCTTTTTGTAGGCCCACCCGGAAATTACAATCACCATGGCTCCCTCGCCTAATGGATTTTGGAATATCGCAGAAAATAAAATGTGTGGCGAACACACTTTTATGATACATATCATTTTTATTCGGCAGATTATTATAAACATATTACCACCAATTTGTGATTTCTGAAGCGTAAATGCAATCAACAGAAGAGCCTAAATTACATCTCATAAGCTTATGTTAACCACATTATTATTATGTAAAGTAAGGTATTATATACCTTATTTCAGGTTGAACTAAAAAACAATGATTTCAATACGAGGATATTGGAAGTTGTAAAATGCTAACTAATTTCTGGGTTTTAGGACTCATTCCTGCACCACTGTATTGCCAAGTAGGTTTACACATACAAGGAATTTACTTTGGTGAAATGTTATTCATTAACACAGTTAGAGGAATTTAGATGTAAAAGGATCACATATAGAATTATTTTTAAAAAGTATCATACATTTTAATGTACTTAGAAAAAAGGAAGTATAACAAGATTATTACAGATTATTCTGAAAGCTGTGCAGTTTTAAGCAGGCAAGGTTGAACAGAAAACATGAATTGCTAATTAATTATTGTTTAGATGAGCAGAGGAAGACTATGAACGTTTCTCTGCTAATGTAGAAGTTTAGACAAATGCGTGATATGCAAATCCATTGAGACGGTGGGAGTTGTTTTTCTGCAGCTTTAAATCAAATGTGAAAATATAAAATAATAGTGAGGCCCGGGAGGAGCCTCATTCAGCCGTGAGGAGGCAGTTCATATCCCAACAAACCTGGCCAGATGAAGAATTAATAAGCGAACATATATATGTCAGTTTCAAGAGAGGGACATATTACGAGAGAAAATGCCATGCATGGTAATTAGATAAAGACCAGAGAATTCATTAATCCAGAGGTGCGTTTAAAGGTCTGGTGTGATTGAAATCCTTTGAAACAACCCATTGACCCGTTCTTGCTCTGATTTAGAAACATGCGGCAGCACCGTGTGTGCCTGGGGGGCCCGCTGCGTCCATAATATGTGCGAGTGCCCGCAGTGCTCGGGCGAGGCCTTCTACCCGGTGTGCGGCAGCGACGGCACCACCTACAACAACGAGTGTGAGCTCCGCACGGCCTCCTGCGAGCAGAAGAGGAAGATCGATGCAGCCAAGCCCGGCAGCTGCGACGAAGGTAGGAAATGGACTTTAAAATGGCGTGATGATGTTCACCGATTGGCCTTTAAAATGGTGTAATCATCTTTATCAACTGACCTGTGGTACGGTATCCAGTCAACTGATGAATTCAACATAATGGTTTCTTGCCACCAGCAGCATGCAAACAGGCTTACATAGAACACGATGCAGGGGAAATCATACTGCGTGTCCATCAAGGAAAACCTATTACAGCTACAGAAATGACTTCTGGGTGATTAAGATCAGGTCAGCGGTGCATTTTAATGGTCTTGTTTGTTTTTTATAAGTGCGTCTCTCTTCACTTCATTGCCCCTGTTACAGAAACATTCTCAAATGGTTTTAATTTATTTCACCTGCAGGTAGACCCAGGATCATATTAGCAGAAACGTTTTATTTGTTATGTACCACATTTTTATTATATTTTATCATATCTTAGTAACAAGCCTCCCTCTTTCCTTACCTGCATCTTTTCTTGTGATATTTAGAACAAATGTGCGTTGAGGTACATTTGTACTAAATAGAAAAATAAATATTGTTGTTCATACTTGTACTCCATCAGTGAAAACTCTTCTTGCACAGATGTTGAAAGCCTATCTGTATAAGACATTAAACTTTGTGTGCTGAGGACCCAGGGTTTGAATCTGGCCTTGGACCGGATTTAAACCCTTTTTCTTAAAAATAAATATTAGAAACATTAACGGTAATATCACAGTAATGAACCTCATAAAGGTGTGGTAACCCTGTTGAAATATAAAAAACAGTGTTTGTGCTAAAAACAGAAACGTGCACACATAAAAATGTTTACTCAATATTTGCCATTCAAGCCATTGTAGAACAAGTAATTTCCCTCTTCTTTAAATAGAGCCCATGTTTTATTTGTTTGTATCGATTTTTTATTTGAGAATGTCCAGTATGCAAACCCTTTCAATCCAATTATGCTTTAAAGTGTGTGACTGATGGGCCTTAATGTGAGTATCTCTGATTTCTAGCTCCGTTGTTCCTCCACATTCTGAATAAACTAGATCTAATTCAGCGTGCAAATCATATCTTGATAAGCGCTGACAGACCGAGGCAGGGTTTCACAGCCGCTGGGGCCCGTCTAGGGGACAACTCTGGAGGGAGCAACATGCCATCCTCTGGTTGTCAGGCCGACGCCAACACACTCTTACTCTGACAAGGTGTGAAGGGGAGCAGATTACACCTGCCAGCGGGGGGGACGTCTGGGGAGACGAAAAGAGTTGATAGATGGAGGACAGAGCAAATAGAGATGAGAGGAATCCTCTTCCGTTTTGATTGCTCGCCAGCGGTGTTCCTTTCTTTTCCTTTTTTTTTTAAACTTTCTCTAACATTGTCCAATATTGTCCCTGAGCCTGTGATGCGAATTGTGCCGCCAAATCTTCTTGTGGTCGATTTAACATAATTTCATTGACTGAGACGAGTGACCTTTTTTGTATGTGGAGCATGAAGAAATGTGTGCACAGAAACTCACTGTCACAACCAACCCAACGTCTGCACACTCTCTCTGCTGCTCGTCTCTTCTGCCTCCCCAAGGGCATTGCTTTGCTCCTGGCGCATATATTCTTCATATTTGATTCTCTCCTTCTCATACTGTGTCTGCACATCATTCCCTTTTTTCATCAGTTGCTCATTTTGATTCAGAGAAAACCATCAGGCTTACACAAAAGAATCGTTCTTTTCTCTTTTTGTTCCCCCGTTGCTCCCCGCCGTGCCATCCCACCCACTCAAGTCTCTCTATTTTGCACTCTTCTCCATTGAAATTGTGCCTCTTGATAAAGGGGGCACCGATGCTTTCACAGATGACGGTGGGGATGGGATTGTGCTCAATCGATACATTTCATCCTAGGGGTGAAATCTGCCTGCTCTGTCCCCGGTCTTTTCAGCCCCCCTCAAATCAGCCCCAGACCCTCCACAGGAAGTCTGCTGTGAATGTAAAATGATCAAAACCAAGTCACTGTTTTTCCTTCCCTGAAAATATCTGTAGGAAGCTTCTCTTTGGCTGCTGTAAGACAGGATATATGTATCACCACCCATAGGTGTATGGATGGTAGGTTTTATATATAGTGTAATACAGCAATCAGTCACAATAAATAAGACCAACGACTGTATTTCCTGGCTCCTTTGTAGACAGCAGCAGAGCTCTACATCACCTGTGTGCACAACCTCCAGCTCAATACTTCATACCTAAGATAAGCCTGAAGAGGAAGTGAACATGAGATTTATTCCCTTACGTAGAATAGACTTAAAAACCATCCTCATTAGTCTTGTCGGGAGGGGGGGATCGGGCATAGAGCATTAAAAAAATTGAAGTTGTTTTCTTCCGCCTTTAGTTTAACAGTAATGAAAAATGACAGTGTTCCCACTATTGGCCATACAGGGAAATGTATCACCTGTTTAATTTCACACCCGGGTAGGCCTGGCCTCAGCTTCTTTTCCCGACACTGACAAAGTGGCAACTGAGAGCAGTGCATCCCCAACTGAGGGGGCAGGGCTCTTCTTCTTTCTTTTTTTAAATGAATAGACATTTAATAAACAAGTTTATGAGCAAAGATTCACACAGTGGTGCACCCTTTGCTCCTCACATTGTACAAATCAGATCAATAAAAGCTCCGGAAGACGGGAAAGGGCGGTAAAAATGAAGCAAAGTGGGCGGCTGGGTGGGAAAAGAGCTCATCGAGTGAGATCAGCGGATTTGATCCCTCGTGGTCCATCCATCACAGGGCTCGTGACCTTCTGTTGAGGCAACAAAAGGTCTTCTATCCCACTGCCATCTCCAAACATGCCATCCCTTTTTGTTGCGCGGAGGCGTGACGTCCCATCCCTCTCAATCTCGCAGGACTTTATTTGGACTAACACGCTGTCACATCCGTCAAAAAGCAGGGACTGATAGATGGAGGGAAAACAAAGGCTAATGGCGCCACACTGATCCTTCAGCAAAGACCAGTGTCATTTTAGACCTTTGCCCAACAGCGTTCCCAATGATCGATGTCCGAGTTGACATTCGCGCATGTCATAATATCAAAGTATCACCATTAAATGTGATCGCTCCTGGAGCCCTTGATGTAAACACAACTTATCTGGTCCACCAAAACATCTCCAGGCTGCATCTCCTCTATTATTTACCCTCATTCTCAGCTTGTTCTCCTCCCTCTGTTTCTCCAACATTTCCACATGGCATCACTTATTCATTATTTTCACTGTCAAATCCACATAACGTTTTTTTCAGCTCTCTTTCTACCTTGGACGTTAGTCTCATGCTATTCATTTCCCTTCTTCTCCCGAATGCTGCCATCTTAATAGAGCTCCCCTTGGCTAAATACACTGTGGGTTTCTGACATGATGGAGCAAAAAGGAGCGGATGGTCAGTGCCGAGAGAATAGCTGATGCAGCCGTCTTAGCTGAGGATGTATTAATTGAAAGGTTCATATGCAGCGCGGGTGGCAGGGCACATCAAAGAGCAATAGCTAATTAGAACCCCCCTTCGCCCTTCACTTTTATTTATTCCATTCTAATGTCTCACCTCTTTTATTTATTTATCTCGTCTCCATGAGGGGGGCCTGAGCAGAATACGAATTGGCTACTCCTGCATTTCTCTTTCTGTTGCGTCTTGCTGAGTCGCTGTACAGTACACCAATGCCGCAAGTTCTCATTAATTCTTTTTTTCATCTGTCATGGAGTCAGAAGTCTTTACTGTTGATCTATCTGCCGCTATGCCACTGGTAGTTGAACGCCATTAGCCTGTGCATTAGCCCTGCCACAAACTGTTATGTTTAAAAAGGACTGTGGGCTAGCAATCGATAAGTAGCCACGACTGCAAATTCAAGCACAAAGGATTAGGGTCGGAGGGTGGTGCTGGCTTAAAAATGAGACGGAGTGAGTCCTGATGTTTGCGGGGGGGGGGGGGATGTGGCCTCTACACGAAGCTCCAGTTCCATGTAATGAAGTGAAGGCCCCTTCCACTGTATCGACCACTCAGAGCCGTCACAGCCCATTGCTGATGACCCATATCAAAGAACAACTGGGGCTTCAGCTGCTCCCCGCTCTCTGACCCGCTCCATAATCTACTTTAGAAGATGGGTTATGCTAAGTGGTACTTCCATCACGGCGACATTGATTATACCATTAGAGGAAGGCGCGTCAATACCGAGGGGTTGAATGAGCCCTAAAAGTAGACAGGAAGAGGAAATAACAAGTTGATTACCTGATGTTTTTCCAAGGCTACGCTGGGAGCTTTTAGCTTAACTGCGTTCCTTTTTTCATTTTTTGAATAACACATTAGTTTCACATGAACTTTCTGCCAGCCCCCGGGGTGCCTCCCTCGTTCCGACTGACATTCTCTCCAGCTTTCATTCCCCACATTCACCTAATCTCCCTCCGGAGTTCCACTGGAGGTGGAATTTGCAACTTCAAAAGCAGGATCCTCCCCCAGTCTATGCAAAAAAAAACTATTTGTTTTCCATAAACGGCCCTGCTGGTAATGTTTTTCTCCCCCCTTTTCATGTAAGGATTGCTTACCTCGTGTTTAAGTTTTCCTACCTTGTGCAAAGGTTTGCACAATAGTTCAGCGATGACAGTTTTGTGAACCCACAAATCCCGCTGATTGTGGGACTTTGTTTGGCCTTGCTACCTTTCTTTTAGCATAATAACTTCGATCCAGTGCACTTCTGATACAAATAAAAGGCCTCCCAGGGTCACAGTTAAAAAGTAGCGGGTACAGCTTCCTCTAAAGTCTCAGGCGATAATTAGATTTTACAGAACACTTTGCAATTAGTTTTATTCTCATATCGGGGAGCAGGCACCCATAAAGCAGGCCTTGCCACCAATTGCCTCACACACTTGGAAGCCGGAGTTAATAATTCCCTCCTCTTTTTTGTCTGTGATTTAATTGAAATGAAAAGGATGCCTCGCTTGTGTGCAGAGATTTTGTGTCTAATTTATTTAGTCAATCTCTTGCTCTCAACTACAGTTGGTCATTATCTTCTACTACCAGCAGCCCCTTTACTTCCCTCTCTCCGCCACCAGCATGAGGGAAATGTAAATCATCCCAACTTTGCCATGTTCCTCATGTGTAAATGTGGCTGTAACTTAAAGAGAAATGTAAGTAGGACGCTGTTTATACCTGGCGCAGTGTTAAAAGGGCATGTCCCTTGTGGGTTTATATGTTTTATTAATGACGCTGTGTATTATGGTGTGTTTCTAATGCAGACTGCGGCTCAGGAGGGTCAGGATCAGGCGCGGAGAGCTGTGAACAGGACCGCTGTCGCATGTTCGGAGGCTCGTGGGACGAGGATGCCGAAGACGATCGCTGTATGTGTGACTTCACCTGTCAGAGTGTGCCTCACAACACGGTACGGCTGCCACTAATTAAAACACATTTAATGTACAGAGACAAAGTGAACTAACAAACATCTGACATCAAAGAGCTGCATTCCCACACGTTTTCTTCAGCAAAAGCAATCCAGATAGTTGTCTTTACCTTCGTTGTAACATCATTGAATGATTCTCTAGGTGCAAATTGGGCAACATTTACAAATATGAAATATAAAAAATATATGTTGAAATCTGGGTTCAGGGTTCCTCAACAATTGTATACTTCCAGTTTAAATCATCTTGCTGCAAAAAGTCATCCCAAATTGAATTATTAAAATAAACAATATCAGTGTAAAAAAACTGATTTGTTTGTTTAACACTACCATTACATTTTTGACAGTACTAAGACTTATTATGTCCTGTCAACATAATTATTAAAATGACATATATTTTTAACAAAAAACGGTCCTAGATGAAGTACTGTACTTCTGATTTTACAAGTTGTGTTAAGTATTTTAAAATAACAGATGTAGGCCTTTATATCATTATAAAATGAACATCTTAGAAGGGATTGATCTTTGTCATTATTTGCTGACAAAAGGATTAAACAAATAATCTCCAAAAATAACCGTCAATAAAATAAAAATAATCATTAGTTGGCCTCCTTCTCAGCTGCCATCCACTGATCTAAATAGGGCAATGCTAACATACATTGTTTGTATACTGTAGCTTTACTTTCAAGTGAAGTGACCTTATAGCTGAGCCGACTATGACCATACCTTCACCTTCCTGTGATTCTCTTCTAGGTTTGTGGCTCGGATGGCAAAAACTACAGCAACGAGTGCCAGCTGAAGAAGGCCAGATGTGAGAAACAGGAGCACTTGTTGATTCAGAATCAGGGAGCCTGTGCAGGTTTGTACATTACACCAATCACAGTTGATGTCATTACAAAGCTCAAAAGCACCCTCACCACGACTCATTCGCATTTCTCCACTCATTTCATCCATTGATGGGGCAGTAGAGTATAAATCTGTGTGTCTCTCTGCAAAGTGACAACTGTAACCATAAGAAAATGAACTGAAGAGGGGGAAATGTGTATGATTGGGTCATTTGCTCAGGGTAGGTTGACTTAACGACACCAATTTCTGGAAACTGAACGTTCCTCTGGGGCCAGCCAGTGTGCAGAGATAAGAAACTCTCTCACGGGCGCATGTAGGATCGAGCTGATAGCAATAATGATTCTCTTTTCCTGCCCAGACATTCTCACAATTTAAACCATTTGACTACTTTGGGATACCTCAATTACTCTTATATAAAACCCCTCTCTTTGCATGCAAATTAATCACAGTCAGGTCAGGGTAGCAAAGGTTAGCCTCCTCTCCATGGCTATGTTAAATGAAAAGCTTTTGCTAGTACATGCCAGGGAGTTGAGAAAAAAGGCACTTGAGGGATTTGGTGTGATCACTCCAGCCTGTTTGATTCCCCCTGGGTTGTCAAATAGAGGAGGATGGACAGAGTTGAAGAGAGAGTGAGAAAGAGGGGAGCTGCCAGTGTTTTCACACATATCCCTGCAGATTCCTCCCCTTCCTAAGCTGGCCTCCTTTGGCACTGACTGTCATGCTTCTCCACCACCATCCGTGGATAATCAATCCTTTTTTTTAAGAGCCCTCTATGGGTACTAGAGCTCTGGGCTCTCCTTTCCTATTGGCAAATGGAAAATACTCAGATCTTGGGGAATTTAACTGTCCTCCCCATTAGCTATTTATGGAGAAACTTCATTTGACCTCAATTGCAGAAACTTATCTCACTAAAAGCAATTTTGTTTATTCTGATGATTACAAAAAATAATTTGCCTACATCCGCACATTTGTAAACTTTACCTACCATTCTTTTTCAGCTGCTTTCAAACTCAAATCTGGGTCAGGGATTCAGTAAAATCCAATAAAAATACTTGTTGTTTTGCTAGATGAGCAAATGTGCAGATGGGCCCTTGAGGGAAGAATAAAAAAAGCCTACAAACACTGGAAGGGCTGTAGCAGACCTTGAAAATGTGAGGGTAATATAACAGAGAGCCGGACAATGGCCGCTGAAGAGAAAAAACCCTTGAAGGGTGGAAGAACATATGAAATTAAAAGTTCAGCCTTGTCCTAATAGGCTCAGTACAGATAGCTGAAAGGGAGCTCTGGAAATGTGGCAGGTTAAATGAACTGTGTCCAAAGCCCAATCTCTGGAGTGGGAAAGCACTGGAAAAAGAGCGCGGCGAGTCATCACCATTAGGCTGAGGCTCATATCCACACCAGTAACAGTGTGATTTATGACCCTGTGTCTGCAGCCTCCAAACTCTAAATGAGCAACACAAGAGAAAGAGATATCGGGCGGGGAACAGAGAAAGAAAAGAGAGAAAAAAAATCCCAACTTTCTATCTCTACAACTTTACTTTGCACACCGAAGTCTGGACAAAAACTCAACAATTACATCTCTGCCTCCCCCAGAAACACCCTCCTAGTGTTTGTTTTGTTGTTCTCTTCCCATTTCTGGAGAAGCGCCAGATTTTCGGGAACACATTTGTTTTGACTTTGTTGAATGTACTTCTTTATTGCAAGCTGTCAGACCAGTTTGAAGGCTGCTGCATCCTCACACAAAAGGAGCTCTCCACACGCAAGGCAGAATCTGCTTGGCACATTCCCTGACATCGAGTGTTTCTTTATTTATTTGTTTGGGAAGGTTGTAGGCCAGCACTGCAATTCCGAGAATATTAGACAAGAACAAATGAAGAGAACATGCCTCTTGGTAGGTGGTAAATGTCAGCCGCTGCGCATTCTCCGGCGGCACCATTGTTTGTTTTCACTGGAGGTAATAGCATCTTTTTCCCCCTGATTTTGAGCCATTGTGGAGGAAGTAGCAAATAGAATCCTTATCTTAAATCCGGCTGCCAGCCTCTCCACCTCTGCCCCTCCAGCCAATCTCATAGTTGGCAATACAAGAAGTTACATGTAGCTCGGAGATTGTGTTGTTTAATTCCTTCCCCCCCCTCCTTTTTTCCATAATCACTCAAATGTTGGTGTTCTTCTTTCTCTCCTTGTGCCATCTCTCATCCCACCCCTCCCTTTTTCTTCCTCTCTCATCAGCGATTTCAGCCACATCTCTACCGGAGCTGTCGGAGCCCCAGCACTGCAGCGAGTCTGTGTACGGCTGCTGCCATGACAACATGACTGCTGCTCTAGGAGTCGGACTGGCTGGATGTCCTAGTAAGTCACCCACCTACGTCCCCGTTGACCCCTGCGTTTGTATGCAGAACGTTTGAGATACTATCAGGCTCTTTCAGCATATGGGACTTATTGTCCTTGACTGCAATTACTAAAGTTGCAGAGCCGAAAACGTTTCATCTTAATCCGACGAATAATTATGATAATGTTGCGCCATATCAACAGAATGAAATCTCTTCATCTGATGACGAATGATAGCACACAGATGGGGGGAGAAAACGCTGCATCAAGTGCTTAGCTCGGGATATGGATGGAGAAAATGCAGACTGGGAAATACGGAGATTTAGAGACGGGGAACTCACCTAAGCACACTGTATCCACCTTTTGATTTGCCGAACAGGGCTTACCCAATATTTCCAGACTAGCATAAATGTTTAATATCCATCATAGCAAGCAGTATCCAGCTGTTGTAAGTCACAGGATAACGGGTTGTTTCACAGTTAGAGAGGCATAAAGCAGTGATGTGTTGATGTGCTCTCCTCAGGTACGTGTCAGTGTAACGTCTACGGCTTCCTACAAGGAGACGTGTGAACCCAACAGCGGACAGTGCTCCTGTAAGCCAGGCGTGGGCGGACAGAAGTGTGACCGCTGCAAGCCGGGCTTCTGGAACTTCCGCGGCATCGTGACGGAGAACATCAGCGGATGCACGCGTAAGGAATCGCCTCTTTGTTTCCCTGCCAATTTACCGAATGTGCTTTTACTGCACCGTTACATGTGACTAAAACAGTAGGAGCTGGGAAATGTGGCAGTGCTGGTTGCTGCTTTGTGTTTCTTCCCAAAGAATGCGTATGGTACATTTACACTTTGTTTTCATAAGGGGTGAGTGGACTACAGCTGCTCATTTTTCGCAGATGTATGACTTTACTCTTAATTGTACAACTGTTACATATAAATGTACCAGATTGATATCATAGACATCATTGTTTATTTCATGTCAATTAACAACTTTTATAATAACAACAACAAGATCTCACTTCCTGTTACTGTTAAGAAACAGGAGGAAATAAGTTATCGTTGAATTATGGAACATTTCACTCACCTTATTTGATTGGGATGGAGCCATATACCTTCTGGGGAAGATATCACAAAACCTTTTCAAATAGAACCAAGCATGACTGGATTCCACTGTCGGTCAGAGAGAAGATTTATATCTCAACCCCATAGCAGTCAAATAAATATCTCTTGGAATCGATGGCAACACCAATGAATATGAACTTTTTAGATAAACATCCTTGCATACCGTGTTGACTGTTACAAGTTTATAACATGGCTAATATACAGCTGGTAGGTTTTTATAAAAAGAGGCAAACCTACTGTGTCCTTTAGTCATGTCAAGGCTGTATCGAATGAACAGTTTTCATTTGTATTCGAGTGAGGAGTGGGGTCAGGACCCCTTGTTTGTCTGCTGTAATGCAATATGGTGACCAGCTCGTGTCCTGCCGCTGGGGGGAACATAGGACATGCGCTCCCAACGCCACAGAGCATTTTCAGTCAACAGCGGGATGTCTCACCCGTGACCTTAACAAGGTTTACCCACAGTAAGCAGACAGCACACCAATACCAGCTTCAGCGGGAGGGGAGAAAAAAAAACACACATCATTGATTCCAGGAACATGATGTCCTTCCCTGGGGTTGTTTTCTTGAGTTTCTGTTACACACTCCTCCTGCGGCCCCTCGGGCTGTGTGAACTGTTCCCAGCCTTTGTCTCCGAGACGTTCAGAGAAGTGTTGCCTCAAACTAAACCAAACCTCTTCCTGTGATTGTACCTAATTGTTTTCTCATCACTCTTTCTCTCCCTCTTACATCTCCATGGCAGCGTGTAACTGCGACGCCGCGGGCTCAGTTCGGGACGACTGTGAGCAGATGTCGGGCCTCTGTTCCTGCAAGACGGGAGTGAAGGGCATGAAGTGCAACCTGTGTCGAGACGGAAGCACCAACGGCTGCGACAAAGGTAGAGCACCGACCTGTGGCGGTTTTTCTCTTCCGTCACAACCTCCCTACATCATTTCAAAGTGATCTCGTAGCAGCCAGTTTTCTCTCTCTGTGATTTTCACATCCATCTGTTTTACTGGCACAGGCAGGAAGCGGCTGCAGGGCAGTATATCGATAGTGATTTGGAAAATAGTGGAGTGTACAAATGACATGCAACCATTGATATTTTCTCCACACGCTCCATTTTGGACGATTTGCAATGTGTACGCTCTGACTATTATTCACTTCGATTAATAATAAAAACAGCCCCGGTGATTGCACAAGCTAATAAAAAGCCAGTTTCAGGAAAATGTTAGTTCCTGCTGCGGGGGTCTGCAGCTGCTTGATTAAGATGCACCATCAGATATCGATCGGAAGTCAAACGCTTAATGAAGCCAGCAGTCGGCACAGTGGTGGGGAACTCCGCCACACGCCCCGCCAGATGAAAAGATGAAGTAGCACATGAAAGCCGGTGCTAAGGGATGGGGGGTGCTCTAAGCCTGTGTGATGTAGCAACAATGCAAAGACCCCACACTCGCCAACCCGGCAGGTAGATGCTGGGCTCCCCGGCTGTAGACCCTGCTGTGGCGGCTTCAAACGCTTCCTTTGGAGAGCTTCAGGAGAGATCTGTGGGAGAAAATATATATATAAATATCCCTGAGTGCACTCCTTTTCATAACTCTTTTTTAACCATAGTTACAGTTTGGGCGAAATGCTATTAAAACATGAATCATTCAGTGTTGCATACAGGTACAATAACTAGACCATTTTATGATTACATTACCGCTGCACTACTGTGGGAGAGGTCACTGTGTCACTTAGAGGAGACAAATGTTCAGAGTAATAAAACACCTTCTTGCATATTTAAATCAACAAGAGAGAGGGGGAGGTCAAATATGTCAAATTAGTAAAAATGTTGTCAATAATGCAGATTGATCCCTGCTTGTTGGTGATTATAACAGCAATTGGACATCTGCTATTTAAAAAGTATTAACACCACAAAAATCGTTTTTCTTTGTTGGATATAACTGAAAAGATATATTAAAAAACATGTTTATATTTTCTCTAATATTTCCCCCCTGTCGTGTTTTATTTCTGCATTCGTTTTTTAATTGCACTGCTGTCTAGCCTACTGTGTTTCTTCAGGTTCTTTGCGCTTTTTGTTGTCATTAATTTTATTAATATATGTTTCTCGAAATGATTTCAGCTTAGTTAACTTTTTCTTCTCTTTCTTTGTCAAAGTTAGTTTTTAGTTTAGAGGCAAATACAACAGGATGTTCTAAAAGCCTGTCAATGCTTGTTCTTTCCTTTCAAATTCCTTATTTTTTTTCGAATTTGATGCAAAAAACAATAATATTGAACACTAACAATTATTGAACGATTTATGTCACTTTGCAGAGTTAGGAGTCAAAAGTGACGTAAGCTTTAAAAACAACATCTGTAGTATGAATACACTAGGGCTGTGCAATTAATCGTATTTTAATCGCGATTACGATTATGGCTTGCGACGATTATGAAAACAGCATAATTGACAAAATACGATTATTTTGCTGGGTGCGCTTCGTCCCTCCCTAAAAGCCCACTCGGTCACGTGGGAGTGACATCTGTTGTGAGTGTTCAGCGCGAGCGAAGATGTCAGAACAAGAGCAGCAACTCGTTAAAAAGAAGGGTACAACTATTTGCAAGTACTTTGCCATTACATTCCACATCGCTAAAGATATGTGCCCAGTTAGCACTGTTAGCAACCAGGGCTTTAAGCAACTTGTCAACACGTTGGACAAGCGTTACGCGATGCCGTCTCGGTATTATTTCAGCAGGTCTGCGCTGCCTGCACTATGTGACAAATGCCGTGGGGAAGTTGAGAGAGACGTGGCTTCAGCTGACTACTTTGCGACCACAACGGACCTATGGTCTAGCCCAGGGGTGCCCAACCAGTCGATCGCGAGATGTGTCTAAAAATAGAACAACAATATTCTGTTTTATCGTTAATGTCCTGTATCATAATCTTCCTGTGCCAGAATAATGCACTTGAACGCATCAAAGCTTTGTGATTGGCCGGCGTCACCCCATGTGTCGGGGCGTGGCTGAGGGTCTTCAGTACAGGTGGCAATATTGTCACCTGCCTGCGCTCATCTCTGAAACCAGACCATGTAAACAGGCTGGTGTTTCTTGCAAAAAATCTTTAAGAGATGACATGAGCAGCCCTACCAGCATTTGACATGGTGGCCTAACATTTTTTATTTGGTCTTAAATTGTAGTTTATTTATAACATTTATTTCCTGTTACTTCTGGACCATGACGGTTGGCCAGCCTTCAACGTTTAACTGAGTGGAATATGTTGAATATGTTTTACCAAAATGTTGGCTATATGTTAAGGAGTGTTCAGTAGGTTGTGACAGTGCACTGCATCATATTTGATTTAATTTATTTTGGTCTAATTTATTTGTATTTATCATATTAATAATATATGTTTAGTATGGTTTTGGAAGTGCGCTCCAACATATTTGTTGATCTTGTTTATTGGTAACATATTATTTGTTTTAAAGTTCAATAGATGGTCAATGAATAATCGTCAAAATAATCGTGATATCAATTATTGACCCAAATAATCGTGATTATGATTTTTGCCATAATCGCACAGCCCTAGAATACACTCTTTTTAACTGGCAGAACATTTGTTTGTTAGCAAAGATTATGTAAATGTGAACGTGTTGCATTAATTATGCATTCAAAACATGTCTTTTAATGTAGCTCCACACCTGCCACAACAGAATCCATAATGCAGCTATGCTCCATTGCTATAAACTCTATGATATTGAGACTATGGCATGTTTTACAATACAAACTTATTTCTTCCACAGGTCCAGAGCCCCCCACCTCATGTGAGGAGTTAGTGTGCAGTTACGGAGCTACATGCATCGAGGTGAACGACCAGGCCCACTGCGAGTGTCCTTCCCCAGACTGTGACGAGAAAAACAAAACAAAGGTGGGTCTCACGGTGCGATTTGCAACAGTTAGTTTGAGCGGCCTGCAAGGAGGTAACATGTGTTCCCATCTCCCCTCTCTCTCTGTCTCTGTCTCTGTGGAGCAGGTGTGCGGCTCAGACGGGGTGACCTACGCCGACCAGTGCCAGCTGAGGACCATCGCCTGCAGGCAGGATAAGGACATCACAGTGCAGCACTCCGGACAGTGCACAGGTGAGCCCCCCCGAAGCCCCCTTGCATCATGGACGGCCGACCGCTGTCAGCTGGTCGGGAGATAATGAGCAGAGCTGTGGGCCACAAATCATCTTCCCCCTGCTGTTCCTCCGCCTGTCAGGAAGTCAGAGCAACATGTGTGCACATTTACCCAGAACTTTGTTGCACATGATACTGCAGCAAGAGCAATCACACTGTTTGAATCCAAATATTTTACTCCAAATGACACATTTGTGACTCATGGATAAGATTAAAGAAAAGGAGGGAGATCATGTTGTTTGTAATACTGCTTTATCTCAAGCTCCTCAATTAGGATTGTCTTACAGCAAATATTTAGTTAGTCTATGCCCTTCTAGTAAGACGAATACAAGTTAGAATAAGAGAGAGAGATAGCTTTGAAGTTCAACCTGCAACCCCACACAGCAGGAATGACTTTCGTTTTGGATTTATCAACGCTCTGTAGGGGTTTGGCCCTCCTGTTGGGGAATTGCGTCAATCTGCTTTACGTTGCCAGACCTCTTTAGGGTAACGGCGGATGCAGGAAACATGTTTACTGAGTGAAAATGGAGAGCTCTTCCTCTGGCCCAGATGCTGATGGACGTTTTTAGGGTTGGCAATGTGTAATAGGTGTTAGGACACTTGCCAAAGGCCAGGGTTTTCATGTACAGGGAAGTTGTTGCACCGACTGCAAGCCTGTGTCACAACGGGGTCCTAAAGACGTCGTCAGTGAGCTCGGTGGGGGGGAGCAGGGCCAGCTGTGTGACTCTGGCTACGGGCCACGGCCAGGTGTTAAGAATTTTCGGGGGTGAAAATGTTTTCGACGGGTGCCGATCAGGTGACCAAACACTGTCACCAGCAGTTATCTCTTTTGAGAAGTCTTTGTCAGACCCAAAGTAGGTCACATCCACAGTTGTTGACATGGTCTGTGTTGATTTGCAGGTACACGGATAGAGATTCCAAATAGGCTCGGCGAGAGATCGACAGGGCTTTGATAAGTCCCTGAACATCTGGTACTTACAAATTCAGTGCCGTGGGTTACCAGCCAAAAAGGAGCCAAAATCCAGTCACATTCCTCTGTTGCCTGGCAATGCAGACGTGGGTTTTGTGTGTAATCCCTCACCTAGCATTGCTGCACACAGAAGACGCCTCGCAGCGGTCCCCTCCTCTGTGGAGCCCCTCAGGGGAGCAGCAGACAGGCGAGGGCTCGGGCCCCTCCGACGTCTCGGGATCTTTTAATTTCTTCCCCCGGATGCGGTCGCACTGCGGGTAGCTGCTCCGCCGATGCTGTCGGCTCGGGGGTTAGATCTCAAGCTCATTTCACGTGTGGCTGGGTGCGAATTAGCATTTGCTCTGCCTCCACCCCTCACCATGGCTCGCCCCCCCTCCTGCTGTTTACATGCAGTTTCTCCAGACTCGCGGCCCTAGCGCTGTGGCATGCTAATGCTCACCGAGCTTGACAAGAGAGCAATGTCAAGGGCCTCTATAGAGTAAATGAGTTGAATGTTGATCCTTTTTGCCTTTTACATCATTGATCTTTCACAACTTTTTATTATTATACCACAGTGTGAGAATACTGCCGCACCGTCGGCCGATAATGGGAAGGGAATCCTGCAGAAGAAGCTTCTTAAAATATTTTTCTGCTGGTGACAGAGAGCTTGCAGCTAACTGTCACGCTACCCGGCTCTCTCTGAAGTCTCCGAGCTAAAAAGGCAGCGGGGCAGATTCCTGGGAGGAGTTTTTCTTTGCTGTGTTTCTCAGCAAAAGATGAAGCAGAATCTGAGAAAACACAGATAGAAAGAAATGCAAAGAGCCACTGTAGCGAGCAACAGAGGGAGGGCATTTGGAGCGATGAGCACATTTTGGCGGCAGGGGAAAATGGCCACCAAGTTGGCGACGACCCGCCTCTCCCATATGGTGTTATCACCTGTAGGTTTGCGGCAAATTGGCAACGAATGGCAGCATATGGCATGGGCAGCCCTCTGCCTGCGTGTCAGGGTCTGCTGCCTTCACCATCTCTCCTCCTGGTCCTGCCATTTTCTCTCATGACACAATCCCACATTCTGTTACCGACTGTTTCCCTCACCACTGCTAGTTTTGTTAACCTTCTTTTTTTGTGATATAAAAATGTTTTCCTTAAGCCTAAGTCCCTTGGCTGTGCTCCCCCCCTCCTGTATTCACATTCCTCCACCTCCACACTGAGCGTGACTGACACCACAAACAGTCTTAATAGCCACCTTTCAACAATAACTACAGGGCTTAGACAAGCCGAGATGACAATGATTTTTTTTCCTCTCCGCCCTGTGACATCATCGGCTCCACTGAGAGAAAAAGAAAAGGCAAACGGACTGTTAAACCTGATTAAGAGAAGCATCAGCTGAACACACACTGCTGCCAGTCCCTCTGTCCTCTTTTAGACGCGCCTTCTTTTTTCCCCCTTATCCCATGTCACGGAACTCGCTGCTTGAGATATGCACACACACACCATAACACACTTCCCAGGGAGCAGGCCGCCTGACGCTAAGCCTAGCACCTGACTGACAGGTGTAGCCAAGAGGAAAGCCAACGCATGCCACCATTCTCTGTGATAGCATCGCCGCTCTGTGCACTCCACTCCAAATCTCTCTCTGTACAAATATCCTGCGAGCTTTAAGCTGACACCCGGTGTCTCCTGGGCTTTTTCTGCCGTCTCCGTAGGTATCACATTTCACACCCCGGTGAATAATTGCCGATAAAATAACCGATTATAGAAGTGTAATTAAATCCTACACATAATGTTAGGCGAATCCTAATGAGGCGCAAATCTGCGGCATATAGGTTTTATTTTAATCTTCCGTTCATTTCACCCACACATCTTTACTCGTGGGACGTGTAGAAGTAAAAGGAAGAACGACAGTATTGTCACGCCTGCTTGCCTCGGCTAAATCTGAAGTGCTCACGTACGTAGCCAACTCACTCCCCCCATCCTTTCAGGAGTTTCTGTCCTATTTATCGTTCTTTTGTCACATGCAGTTTGTCCTTTTGCACCAGAGTCTTTTTATGCATTGGTAATGATGGTCTCTCTGCAGAGAGCCTCTTTCCCTCATTTGGAATGACTTCTTCTTTTCCCCCCTGTGTGTGTTTGGGTGCGTCTGTTGACAGCAGTGTGTTTGTGGTGGCAATGACGGATGCTCATGCGAGCAGCAGTGTGCCGTCTTTGAAGCCCGAGTTAAAGCTTTTTTGCCCCATTTCTATCAATCATTCATCACCGGAGGCACTGGCTTTTGGTGATTAAAGCTTTTGCTTCTGGAGGGCAGCATTTGAATATGGATATATAATTCATAGGCATTGGCACACAACACGCCAACATGCATTCCATATGTGTGTGCACAAGCAAAAGCGCACTAGTGCTAATAACTCTGAATGTCATCTGTTGGCATATTCCATATTCATTCCGCTATACAGTATGCACTTCCATTACTTAAGGTTTGTCAGATTGTCCTGACATTTCATCCATTGCAGGGTTTTTACTCAGAGGTTGCTTTTACAAACGGGTGTCTGCATATGTGTGTGTGGAGGTTTTTTTAATTTCATTTTTTTGTTGAGCATAAGTGGTTAGAAGACTTAAAGGTGGGGTAGGTAATTCACTTCAGAAACACTTGTTGTTATATTCCATGGAATGCTCTTAACATCCCGATATTAATGAATACATTAAATGCTTTGACAATGAGTACATTACAAATGTAATCTGTGGAAGCTGTAGTGCTGTAAAAAGCACGACCAATCATCTGAGCCGGCCCGGCTAAAGTAACTGGATGGCCTACCTGCCTGTCAGCCTTCCATCTGTGCACAAACTTATCTCGTGCCCTCATTGGTCATGTGCGCGTTCGTGTGTGTTGGAGGAGGGGCTCTGTAAGGAAGTAGCAGATTTTTTTCGGCTGCATACTTTCAAATTCTAGCGCACTCGTGCTGGTTTCTCCATTCTTACCTACTGTACCCTACTTTTAAACGGACATTCAGTAAAAGCTGAGGTAAGAAATTATTGTCAACACTAGGTTGTAATAATAGATTAAAGGAATACTTGAACTCCAATTTGTTTACTTCAGTAACATAGTGACATCAATATCTAAGGCTTGTGCTTCTAATGGCCAGCGCTCCAACACATTGAGCGTGATAGACTGAGGGGCGGGACATCTCTAAGCGGTTGATCAAGAACATTGGTGTTGCGAAGTCCATAGGGACTTGGCTTGGCAACTGGAAGGTCACCAGTTCAAGTCCCGGCAAGACCAAGTGCTACAGAGGTGTCCCTGAGCAAGGCACCGTTCCCTACACTGCTCCCCGGGCGCCGTACATAATAATGGCAGCCCACTGCTCCTAACACTAGGATGGGTCAAATGCAGAGAAACCGTTTCGTTACTAGTACCTGTACTACGTAATGACAATAAAAGTGGTTTCAGACAGAGGGTGAAAAGAGGTGCTGCAGTACAGGCAGTATGAGATAAATAAGGAACTTTTTAAACATTAAAGTATTTAAACATGTTACAGTAGAGACACAAAATCCAAATATGAACCTGAAAATGAGCATAATGGGGCCCCATACAACTTTTCCGAGCTAGCCTTAAGCGCATTAGCTTATACTGCACAAGTTGGGTGAACTTTTTTTAACAAATGCTTTGATAAAACAGCCCCATTTACTTAAATTCAGTAAACTCAGTTGGATTGTTGTACAAGGTGTAGGTATGTAAGACAAAAAAGATTTAGTTCAAGAAGTCAAGGTAATGGTATAAGAAATGTATATACAAATGATCATTTTGGGGGTTAAGTATTTCTTTAAGTGGGTTTAATATTGGCTAATGATTGTTGATTTGTACTACTGGTGTGACTATTGAAGTTGTAATGGAGTTAGTTAGGTGAAGCAAAATCAAACATTTTTCATCTTTGCTCAGTCATTCATCCATTCCTTGCTTCCTCCCCTTCCCTCCACCAGAAACCATCTCTGAGCCGGCAGACCGACCCACCCCCAACCCCCTCGCCACCACCCCCAGCTCAAGCTCTGTTGCCACCATCACCACCCCCACCTCCTTCCACCCTAACATGGTGTGGGCCATCCCGCTTCCGAGGACGGAAGAGCCATCGACCACTGAGTGGCCCCCTGCCACCACCATCTCTTCCACCCTCATCAACAACAGAGCAAAACAACACCACATCATCCACACCCAGCCGCCGCAGTCCACCACCACCTCCACCCCCCGCAGCAGACCGCCCCCCCCTGCCGCCGCTGTCTCCTTCGACGGCTCGGGCAGTGGGGAGCCCAGCGGCGATGACCAGACCGAAGAGGAAGAGGAACAAGAAGAGGAAGCGGGTAGCGGCGTTCCAACGGAGGCCAGTGGCGCAGAGGAGCCTGTCGGTAAATCACTGCTCTTTCACTTCATTACCCATAATGCATTGAGGGCTGTGTGGGAGGGGCTTTTATTTTCCAATAATGGGTTGTACCAACTCTTTTCTTAGCTTACATCATTACACATTCATGCCATCATCTGTTAATTGAAAGCCACAGGCTTGTGTAGTTCTCTGGAAATGTCAAAGCCAGGCAGGCAGGGAAGATACATCTTTGTAAACAGACGCCGTTTGTGTCATTTCCACTCGCAGAAGATGTATATCTCAATTTCAGAAAGGAATTCATTTGCATGGTTTTGCTGTCGCTACATCACCCATGCTCCATTCCGCCAGCGCATCACTCTCAACAGTTAGCAAAACAAAACGCAGGCTCTGTAAAATACACTGCAGCAGGCCAGATTAAACTGTTGGCCTGCATCTGGGGACCGCTGGAGCCTGACTTGATAGGCTGATGCGACTGTGAAGTTGAGGTGTGTGTGGAGGTCACATGACAATTCTCAAATCTTTCTCGACATGCACTCCTGACTGTAACAGCACGCTGCCGTTTCTAGACCTCTGCTTGAACAACAAGGGATGGCTTCTTCTTTTTTTATTCGGTTGTTGTTTTCCATCCATCCATCCAGCTCGGCTGACAGCTTGCAGTAACAGGATATGATTGATGGGCAGCGTGGCCCCCAATGTGCTCTTCCTCAGCTCAGCCTCTCCTCCTCGCTCCTCCTCCTCTGCGACTCAGAGATTTATTCTGTTGTCAGAAGCTGACCAGAGTGCTCGGTGGCGCGAGAGGCATGCAAACCTGTCTGCCTAGGAGTCCTGGTGTGTGTGTGTGTGTGTGTGTGTGTGTGTGTGTGTGTGTGTGTGTGTGTGTGTGTGTGTGTGTGTGTGTGTGTGTGTGTGTGTGTGTGTGTGTGTGTGTGTGTGTGTGTGTGTGTGTGTGTGTGTGTGTGTGTGTGTGTGTGTGTGTGTGTGTGTGTGTGTGTGTGTGTGTGTGTGTGTGTGTGTGTGTGTGTGTGTGTGTGTGTGTGTGGTGTGTGTGTGTGTGTGTGTGTGTGTGTGTGTGTGTGTGCCCAAGCATACTTGCATTTTTTTTCATATTGTACGTGCTGAAGTGCTAGCGCGCACATCAAAGTGTGAGCAGATCAGGAGATTGTACAGCGTAGATTTAAACATGGATATTCAAATCTACACTTGAATGTTTCTTTACGGTGGTTAGTTGTTAAAGGTAAGTTGTAGTTTGTGTTTGGGTGTTTAACTTATCTCCCTCTTCTCATGTCACTGAGTTTTTCCAACCCGGAGTGCACATATCACTATCTGACTCTATAAAAGTAAGCAGGCCAGAGGTGTGTGTTTGTACATGGTTTTCCGCGCTCTGTTGAAATCTGCTCTTATGTGTGTGAGGTTGGGGGGGGTGTAAGTGTGTGTGTGTGTGTTTAAATGTGTTGTTGTGCTCTACCCTCTGTCCCCCCTACCAACACTCTCCTCTTCATCGGTAAATCTGCAGGCCACACGCCAACAGATGCCCTATAAACCCTGCAACCTCTCTCCTCCTCGCCTCCTTTTGACCGCGAGTCCTTGAGCGGCACGTCCCTCGCCTCTGACGTCTTTACGACTTGTTTAGCCCCTAGCTGTTTGCCTCCACGATTATTTCTAATCTCTGTGCGGCCATAAACTGCGCCACTTGGACCACGACGGCTGCTCCACCAGCACCATCATTAGAGAGGACTGAGCTTCGCTGCTGATACACACTCTCATTCTTCACAGGGACAAAGCCTAGCCACTTTTATGTCTTTTATGTCCCAAGATAGCCAGATATACGGGGACTGTAACACAAACACAGGCTTTTTTTTGTTGCTCTCCTGGGAAGACTTGAAGTTAACTGTACACCAATCAGCAGTGAGCAATAATCACATCCGCTCATCATTTAAGTTTCTCTGTGTGTGACATGACTGGCAACAGTGCCCATTACGTGCTCTCTGCTCGAGTTCCAGGTGTAAAATCAATTTTCATGAATAATGCCATATAATCACTCCTGACAGATGCCTCTAGTAGTCCAATCACAGGTCAGCGGACTGAAAGCTTGCAACCAGCTGCAGAAGCTAAAGCAAATTCTGAATAAAACAAAAGATTGTAGGTTTTAACCTTAGATACACTTTACTCCAACTGTGCCGGAAAAGTATCTCTCCCATGAGGTTTCTGAGATAAGCTGGCTGGAATATATGAATGTTCTACAGTTTCATGAATTATTTTAAGCCCCTGTGTATCACCCCCCCCCCCCCCCCAGGTCCCACGTTGGCGAGCACCACAGTACCCACAGCTGAGGACCGGTCCTCCTGCGACAACACAGAGTTCGGATGCTGCCCCGACGGAAAGACACCCTCCACTACTCCAGAGGGCGCCAACTGCCCCTGTAAGTCAGAACGACCCTTTCTTTACCCTGTCATTACCTGGCTATCACACTGGTTTTCCTTCTCTATTTTCTGGTTTCCTGTCAGTCGCTGCTATACTATGTGAGGGACTATGTCTCGATCCTGGGGGTCAGCAGCAACTGCAATTAGCTACCATTACAGTTGAAATGATGTTAGCAAATGTAAACGACAAAGACTTTTCGTTCTTTTACTGGAGCTGGATGAGAAGAGCATTGCAAAGTTTATACTAGATGCTTAAAATGGAAGCCGATTTAGCCAACTTTGTATCTTTGCGAAATGGCTCGTTACCAACGGACTGTCGCTGGTGGGTTATCAGGGATCTCTGAGAAAGTCAAACATTGTTCACATATATATTCCACCAATATCAAAATGATACAAAGTGTATCTTTAATTGTGTAGCTGGAGCCTGGAGATGAGTAGCCTAGCATTAAGCAAAAGCAATACAAAAAAGCTATCATTAGCTTAAAGGGAAGCATTCTGCACTTCATACGTAGGGCTGAGCAATGTTGTGTTCTAGGAAATTAATTTCTATAAATTGGTGGGGGGGGGTGGGCTATGTGTTTAAAGAATATAAAATAGTTTTTCGTAAAAATTGAATAGAATCCCAGAATTTTTCTTTTGACTTTTTGTTTTATTATTCAATCAATGTTTTTTTTATTTTTTTATTATTCAATGTTAAGATTCAACAAACTATCTGTTTTTTCACTGCACAGAACTACGTCTCTTACTCATCTCTTCTCTTCTTCCTTATTTTTTGATGTATTGCCTTCATTTATTGAAGGATTGAGAATCAACCCAATATTTTACTTCGGAATAGTGATGGTGTGCCATCTGCCTTTAACAACCAGTTGAACAGGTGCTATTTCGTTTTGTCTGCAGCGATGCGTTCATGAATCACCACCCTCATATGTAAATGATCATATTGGCAGGTGGCAGGACATTTAAAAAAATACACAAACAGTGGATGTGTTACCTCAGTATTCCATGGTTGGGAATTTGATGACACTTGGCGGTCCAATGCTGATATAAGTCGTGCCAGGCCTAATTCCCTATGAGGTTTATTTTCTCTTCTCTTTGGGTAATAAATAACCATCAGTGTTGTTATTCATACTTACTATCTTCCTTCACCCTTATTCTATTTATTTTAATCTCCCACCTGTCCTTTATTCACCCACCTCACACACATTATTTTCTCTATCAGTCTGTATCTCCCTCTTGAGCTATATCTCACTCTTTTCTCTCCCTCAGCTCAGTCAATCTCAATCCAGTCTTGCATCACTTATTTTCTCTGTGGAGTGAGGAGAGTGTCGGGAGACTACCGAGGGCCGACTGTTGTACCAATCAGTGCCTTCTGCCAGACTCGCTTCATAAAGATAAAGGGCTTCTTTCTCCCCCTTTGCTACTCCATCTCTCCTTCCCTCCATCCCTCAGTAGAAATCTGCGCTCTATTTGTCCCTGCGGTGTTACTCTGACTGATTGTGAAAGAAGGGATTCTCTCTGGCTCTAAATGGAGCTCCGGGTCATGACTTTAAAGGGCCGGGGCCACAAATGAGTTGTATTTCTGGCGTGCTGAAAGTCCCATGGCCTTCTAATAAAACAGCAGAGTTCAGTGGCTATAACATGAACCACAGATATAAGGCCACCTTTGACTTTGGTACACAGAAAGACGACAAACAGACGTGAAACATGTGATCTGTCGAGGTAGGATTTGATGACATTTTGGCCCAAAATCCATACGATAGAAGCATTTGATAGGTTTAAGCTGTAGAACAAGTAACAAATCCGCTAAGGCCTGTAAATATTTATCTCAGCCAAAGATGACGGCGCGGCAGCAATCAATACTTCATTCAGCTCAAGTGTTGCCAATAAAAGCAGGCAGCAGGATTTGCTGATCGATACGGCGGATCCGTTCTTTCTCTAGAGGAGGGCTCAGCCGATCGTCCGCTCATTAGCAGTGAAATGACACGTCCCTCATGCGAGAATATCCGTCTCATTGTACCTTCCAATATATTGATGCGTGCACGGCTCATTTTCTGCTGTTCTAATCTTCACATTTATTGAGACGTCAGAGGGTGAAGTGGCTCAAGGTTGACTTTAGTCCACTCTCTTAGATATCTATGAAATCGTTTTTATATTCAGTTTTTACAGCTTTGAGTAGAGGTAAGAGCATGGCCGTTCTTCAATTAGAGAGTGTATTTAGCATTTACCTGCCATATAATTTAACCATGGGGATTTTTTTGTATCTATCTCTCTGGAGAAGACATCTTCCTCTGAGAATTATTGGGTGAAACATTTGGTTCCTTTGCTTAATGTGTTTAATGCAGGATGCTCCATCTGTAACTTTCAAACAAGGCGGCACCGTTAATACAACATCAGAGATAATGACCGGCATGCTCATATGGATGTTAATGGCACACTAAGCCCCCGCTACTGTAAACTCTTCCATATGCCAGGGAAAGTCTGACAAATCCATTACATTTTACAGTTCACTAGGATCTGATAGTGAAACAGCTCAGTCCCTTTGTATCTCTCTCTTTCTTCCCCTCGTTATGTTCGTCACGGCAGTGGGCCGGAAAATCACCCTCTCTGATGTTTGTCTTCTTCGCAGATTAAAAGTCAGATTTCTCTCGCCGTCCTTCTTTCTTTCTTTCTTTCTTATCGGCCAAACCTTGCCCATTTGCTTTTATTTTATGGCGCCCGTCACATCTGAATCGATGTGTGCTGCCCGTGAAAATGCTGTAAAGTCGAGGGTGGAGACGGAGGGTGTGTGTGTGTCACCAGTGTCTGCTGTCCTTTTCATGCAATTTTAACCAGGCCTGTGTCAGTCACCATTCTGGCGACATTAAGGAGACAATTACGGCTATCTCTCACGATAATCATACAAGTGCTCTTCCCGTTCTCCGTGCCGTCGCTCGAGCAGGAGCAGCCATGATTGATTTGGGCAATTTGTCCTGCTGATTAAGAGTGCCGTGGAAGCATGACATCAGCGCCTCACATGCTCCTCCTTTCTTCACCTCACACTAATGCACAGATCCCCTCTGCTTTCAGCTTTTCTCCTCTGGCAGCAGTATGAGAAAAAAACATATTGAGAGTTGATGAATGTTGGACAACATAACCCCCCAAGGTCGCACAGGGAGGCTCTCTCTTTGCTGAAGAAAGCACTTTTGAGAGTGCCTGTGGGCTATTTTTCCTCTTTAGCGTGTGTGTTTTGTTTCTTCCTTCATGTATTTGTGTGTCTGTCTAACTTGTTGTCTCCCTACCCAGCCCGCCATGCCTCGGCCAGCTTTTGGGATGAGTCTCCGTCTGGTAAAACTGGCCCATTTTTCTTCCCTTTGCCCTAGTTTCTTTATTCTTTCCTTCCTTCTTTCATACCTCACAGTCCACCTCTTCCACCACCACCACCACCCCTACACCCCAAACTCTGAACCCCCACGCAATCAGCAACAAACTCACTAACCTCCTCTTGTCAAACACACACAATCACACGATCCATCACTAACCCGGAAACCGGCACGACCCCAACAACGAGCACGGTGTGAAGGCAGCGGGGTAGGAGTGATAAGTGATAAGAGAAGGTGAGCTAGCGATTTTCATCTGATTTCTTGCCATTTCTCCTTCCAGCCACCATGAGGTTCAGCGGCTTCCTGCACTTGGACCAGGTGGAGGGCCAGGAGATATTCTACACCCCTGAGATGGAGGACCCCAAGTCGGAGCTGTTTGGAGAGACAGCCCGCAGCATAGAGAGCGCAGTAAGTACTGTTGGGAATATAGTTCAGTATCAATAGCTCATGGATGAATTTGCTTAAGACCTTTTCATTTGACCATGTACGTATGAGTATTAATACACCAAATCATGGTGGTTCAATCATTATTTTTCATAAACAAAAAAATATAAATTTCTCACACACACTTCTGAATAATTAAGAATATATACAGAATTAGCGTTCTGCTTTTAATTTCAAGTACAGAATTAAAGCCTCAAGGGCTGTGTTAGCACAGGCACTACATGAGCCTTCCAGAAACTCTTCAAATGTAATAAGTGTAACGATAAAAAAAACTGGGAAAAACAGACGTGTGCAAAGACTCATTTGTGAATAGCTTGCCAAACACTTCACAGAAGCAGGAAGCAGCCTCTCATGTGAGATTAATTAAGATAAGTCCTTATTCTGGATATGAGTGAGATAAGATTGGATGGTCAAGATGCAATTTTCTGTTAAGCAGTCAAAGCAGAAGCTTGTGCTATAATCGCAGTTTGGCCCTGGCGCACATATCTCTACTGTCCGTGTCTTTTTCTCAGACCTTTGAATAAATGTCTCTGTTGTCAAGCCAGAGCCTCGCTCTGCCGATGAAATGGGAATGTGTGTGTGTGTGTACACTATACACATCCAGCAGCTGTTGAGACGGTGTCACTGGACCCCACTGGGACCTAATCTACTACCTCACAGCCATTTGTGTGCGTGTCTGCGCTCGTTACACTCCAAGCCTGTGTCTTTCTGAAGCCTGGTGCGCCACTTGATAGCAACCACCCGCCTCTTCATCTTCTAACACTGGAGCACACGCAGATATACAGCACACTAAAGAATTCCAGCTGGTGATGTTTGAGGGAAAGAGAAGGGGAGAAAAGAAGATCGGAGGTTTTATAGGTCAATGTTGGTCCATCCTTTCCATCCCTTCGGAGGATTGCACACATCTACCCACAAATAATAGAGATTCAGTGCCTGAAGGAGTAATCTGAGCATTTAAGCCAACTGAATTGAAGGAAAGGCAGCTTTTTGGTAGTGGCGCTAATCTGGCCAGTCTGAAAATGTCATATCTTGAGCGATATGTAATGAAGCATACACGTTACATACAACACTTCATGAGTCTCACGTTCCAAAAATGGGTGAAAATTAGGCATCATGTTGTGTTCGATCTTACCCTGACTCTGTCACTGTGCCATTTTAAAATATTTTACATCCTGTATGCATATTCAAAGATGAAGTTACACACAGTCATTTCCTCGCTGAAGCAAATATTAGAACTTCTGGTTTCGATTATGCTTATGCATTGGCTTCATAATTCCATTGTTACATAACACACTTAAGTAAAATCCATCTTATTGATATTTTCCTTTCTCTCGTATATATTTGAAGTTGACATTAAGGTAATCTAAAAAGTCACGGAAAGTAGTCAGGTGACATTACTTTTATATTGTGATGCTTAGATTAGGTTACTGTAGAATAGAACAATAGTTAAGTAACAGCAGGCCCTGTAGCTCCTGAGATTTTAACCAGCTGCTGAAATAAGGACGAGGAAGAAGAATTTCCTCTTGTTACTTGTTGGGAATGTAATTAACTAATCCACCAGAACACAAACAAGAACACAATTAGAGGAAGACACTGACTGGATGTGACTTTTTAAAGTTTTAGCATGAAATGGTCCAATTTAAAGCTGAAATATTGGCCCAGATTGTTTGGGCTAAAGTCAACTTTAGTCTCTAATATCTCCAAAAGCCCTCATGGAGCACCTCTGGTTGATAAAGCTTGCACACACGGGGGGGGGGGGGGCTTCAGAAGCAAATCCAATCAGGAGCACATGTCAGGGTTGCACGACATTTGTCTTAGCTCCTCCCGGAAACTTGTCTCTATAATTAATACCACGGCTCCAGCTAAATGTCAATTTGTGCACCCGCACCCCAATTTGAGAGCAGTCTTTCCTGTTCGGAGAGTACAGTCTTCTGGAATTGGACTCGCTGCTATGATAGCGTAGAGCTCATTACCGGCCTCATTTATCATCTCTTCTAACTGTCCCTTCTCTCCTCCCCCTGTTTTACTCTTTCTCTTCTCTCAGCTCAATGAGTTGTTCAGGAAGTCGGAGGTGCACAAAGACTTCATGAGTGTTCGTGTCAGGAATTTGGCTCCAAGCAACTCCATCTTGGCCTTTGTGGAGGCCCACTTCAAACCAGGTGAGAGATGGCAGAAGATTCTGAAAAAATAATAAAAATAATAATAAGTACAGTAGCCAATAGAGAGAAAATAAAGTTGGACTCCGTTATGGTTTGTTCCCCTTTGTCTTTTAGCGAGCAAGATATCCTTACAAAAAAAAAGACTGACTTAATTTAAATGAAATTGGGATAAAAGTTAGGCCACTGACTAAAGAAGACCTAATTACTTTTGTATGCAGAGTAAGCCACCATATCACTTTTTGAAGCACTTTATATTTCCACGTGTAACTCTTGGACTGTAAAGCTATGTTCTCCCCTGGGTTCCAACACTCTATTAGTCACTTGTTATTACTCCTCTGACACATTTTATTCCTCGTCCACTGAATAAGGTTCATAACATTTTTGAATAGTATTCCAGTAACCTGTTCCCTCCATTGTTGAAATGTAACTGCATTTGGCCACTTCTGTACAGTAACAAAACACATTTGTATCACCATGACTCAAAATCAACCTTGTCCTGTACACTTTACCTGGCGTGCATGCAGGTTAAGGACTTTTCTATTGTTAAAATAACAAATGGAGAGGAATGTGTATCCTTGGCAGAGATGTGCACTCTCTAAATGCTTTCTACTTATTCTTTATTTGACTCATAATATTAAACTGTGTTTGTCCTTATTAATACATATTTTAAATGTTTTTCTCAATGCCAAAACAAAAATCATAACAAGGTTTCTACTTAGATGTTCACATTGTTATTCATAGAGAGCCAGGAAAAGTTCCCAAAAAGGTGTAATTGAAGGCTTGGTCAGCTCCTCCATTTGTCAAAAATGGAAAAGGAATACTTTCCAATTGATTGACAGGTGTCCTAATACAGTGACAAACACTAGACAACTCAAGATGTTCTCCGTTAAAGTTTGTTTACATCACTAATTCTGAAATCATAGGCTTATATTTTTAATAAGGAGAAATTCCTTCTGTAACAAAGTGCTGAATTGCCATTATTAAGACTCATACATAACATATGTGAATTCAATTCTTAATTATACGGTTGACGCCACAACTGGGCCTTTAAGCTCCTTTGTACCTTACAAACTCCACCCTCCCCCCATTTTGAGAGTGCAGTTTAGTGTCCTTCACACCCTTCATACGGTGCAGTGTTAAGCGGCTCTCCTCCATGGCCTGTAAAGCGAACATCTGCAGTTATGAGAGCGATTCATCTGGAAAAAAGCCGGACAAGCGACAGGTGGAGGACAAGTGGCCCCCGGAGACCCTCCAGCTGTCATACACTGGGCCTTCTGATATATCCATTGTTCCCCCTAAAGAAGCCCGAGTCCTGTATTTGCTTCAAAGTGCTCCTCCGAGGCCATGTCCTGAGTGTCTGTACCTCTTTGTTTATGATAGATACCAGATTCACGGTGGAAGACATCGAAGGAGCCCTGCTCAAACAGCTGAAGGCCTCCAAAGACACCAGCATCGCTGTGAAGAAGCCAGAGGACGAGAATATCCGCTTCACCAATTATGGTAATACACAATACAGTGTGTGGGGATTAATAAAATGAAAAGGGGTTTTAAGTTATTCATGAGGTGATTTATCAAAGGTTTTTTACGGGTCTTGAACAAGGAATTCTTTACGTGCATTTTTTTCCTTTGCTAATTTCCATTGTTCTCTGCTGACAGACATCTCCTCCGTCCCCTTCTTCACCACCACCACGACCACCACCACCACGGCCTCAGTCACCACAGCCGCTCCCAGCACCACCACCATGCCTCCCCCCACCTCCCCGTACATCACCCGCCGCCCCCCAGGCACCACACGCAGGCCCTATGGCAGACGCACCACCACAACCTCAGCGCCTGTAACCACACCGCGACCCACCACCACCACAGAGGCCCCCACTACCACTGCTCCACCTCCAGCCACCACTGTAGCCCATGTCCGAGGCAGGCTGCACCACAAGAAGCCCTGCAGCTCCCACCCCTGCCTGCACGGCGGCACCTGCGAGAACGAGGGCAACGACTTCAGCTGCAAGTGTCCCGCCGGGCGAGGAGGCTCCGTGTGCGAGAAGGGTGAGTCAGCGCTTTTATTTCCTTTACACATTAGCAGAGGTGGTAGTATTACTCAGATCTTGTACTTAGGTACACACCACAGTGTAGGAATACTTTGTCACAAGTAAAAGTCCTGCAATACAAATGTTACTCGAGGAAAAGTACAGAAGTATGCGCATCAAACATACTTTATGTACCAAAAGTACTCATTATGCAAATGTGCCCATTTCAGAATAATATATATTGTATCTTTTGATTATAGCGATTGATGGATTAAAGTGTTCTCAAAGCTGGTAAAGGTGCAGCTAGTTTGAATGAATATACTGCAGGGTAGCTTGTGAATTTACTCCATGTGTAACTAAAGTCTGATTTGTGTTGATTATAATTCACATTATTAAGTAACTAAAGGTATTAAATAAATGTAGTGGAGTAAAAGTACACTATTGACCTCTGAATTGTAGTGGGGTAGAATAAAGCAACACATTTAAATCATCAAGTAAAGTTCATGTCTCTCACAATTGTACTTAAGTACCACTATATTTGCTAAAAGTTTCAAAGTCTCCCCCGTATTTTTAAATCCTCTGAAAAAATGAGCTGGAACAGACTTCCGTTATAATTTAGCACGATAGCAATTAGCAATTACAAAGAAGCACCCAAGGCTGATTTCGCAGCAACTGAGAGGTTTTTAGGCACTCCACTTTGTGCCAATCATGCCTTTTAGCTGGTCTATAATCGCTGTTAACCACTTCCTCAAGTGCTTTAATATATTTAGAAAGTAGTGGAAAAGAACCATTATGCTAAAACACTCTAATATAAAAGGTTTCTTTAATGAAACTTTTGTCGTAAAGGAGAAAAATACATATATTGCTCATGTTAAGGGGTATCTTGTCTTATTGTAGCTTCACAAAGCGGCCGCCTAAAGTGAGGAACAACCTTCAGTTAGTGCCTGAATATGTAAATGCAAAGTTCTGTGGTCACAGATGTGAATTTATTGGGTCATATAAAGCTCAATAAGACAGCAGCAATCAGCAGAGAGTGTCAATTTTACTCTATATATTATAAAAAAACTTGAGAACAAAGCAGTTGAGGTGTGACTGACGCAATATCTCTCCTATCCGGCTGCTCTTCAAACACCTCAGAAGTGAGCGACCGCTGAGGTGTTCACTAAAGCCAACACACTGAATCCAATCAGCGCCGCGGAGAAAATCATAAATCAAGGAGAACTTCTTGAGAAACTCTTTTGTTTCTTCCCCTCTTACCCTACTTTGGGATTTTCGGGGGGCTGAGAAGGAACCTCACGCTGCTGCATCTTAAGATAATTCACAGTAATTGCTTTGATGGGGATTAGCTGGTGGGAATCCATGTGTGTCTTTGAGTTAGAGTTCTAAATGAAGTCTCACACACACGCACACACTTAGACCGCATGCTGGCCTCCCCCAGATCAATGCAGTCATTAGAAAAGACGGAGCTCATCAGCTGCCATTCTCCTCAGAGAGACAGACAGAAAGACAGATGGACGGAGAAAAAAAACAACCCGAGAGAGAAAGTGGATGATAATATCGTAATTGTCGAGTGGCAGAAAAACAAAGGATTCCCCTGGAGGCATGAGTGCTTAAATGTGGCTTGAGGGGGGGTGAAGAGCTCAGCTCCTCCTCTCTTTCTACCTTCTCCTTCTGGTGAACTCCTTCTTCCAAATAGCGTTCCTAAAATAAACTGACAGCTTATTCTCTTTCCTCCAGATGCCTCCGCCTCCGCTACCACTTAAGTATAAACGATAAAGTGTATCATGAAATAATAACAGGATTGCTTTTCCTCCACAGTGATCAAGTACTTCATCCCGTCATTCGGAGGCCAATCGTACTTGGCGTTCCAAACCATGAGCGCCTATCACACGGTCCGCATCGCCATGGAGTTCCGGGTATCCGAGATGACCGGGATCCTGCTCTACAACGGCCAGGACGGCAAGAAGGACTTCATCTCTCTGGCTCTGGTGAATGGCAAGGTGGAACTCAGGTGAGCCTCGTCAGAGTTTTCAGGGTCAACGACCTTCATCATCTGTTGATTCTGCCGCTTTCCTTCTGATTCAATCTGATGAAACCTCTATGATCCCCCCGCAGGGGAAAACAGGGTCATTTCAGCTGAGAGAGGATGTAGATAACAATAAAGCCAATGGAGAGCACTGAAGATAATGAGGCAAATAATTACAGCAAGTAAACATGTTGAGAATACCGCTGCCAGAAAATGTAATAAAAAGACACAGAAGCTTCTGGACAGATTTTGCAGGCTAAGGCTACCAAGGCATGTTTTTCAGAAATGTGTTCAAAGCTTGCAAATGAAGCTCTTTGCATGATCACGTTTACAGATGGCGGGAACATATGTGTGGATTTGATATGTAATTTTTAATCACATATATTGCATTTACAGATGGAAGCAATGACTTATTAAATGCACCTCGATATGGCTCATGGAGGCATTAGACTAATCATGTTGGATAGTAACATATAGTATGCAAATATATTAACCCTGTGCCAGTTCTCTTGCTTGATATGCTATCAGCTCATTGGATGGGCGTTATCAGCATGAACATGGTGGGTTAGAAGGGGCGTGCTCCACCTACTATAAGATTCAAAAGGGCCTGTATATACAGTATGTTTGATCCCGAATATAATTACATGACGATACCAGCTTCTAACTGCTGAAGTAGTTAATGACAGGAGCATAGAGCAAGTCAGGTACTGTGTGAAAACACTACTCAACTATTATATATAAACATTTTGGTAAAGCTACAGCTGTTTCACTTTTGCAACATTTTCATTTCAAACCTTTATTTAACCAGGTGAATCCCATTGAGATCATCCATCTCTTTTCAAGGGAGACCTGCTGCAATTAGGTTCCACATGAAGACATAAAAACAGAAAACAACAGAAAAACAAAAAGGACATCATACATAGGGGTGCAACAACTAATCGACTTAATCGATTAAAATCGATGACCAAATTAGTTTCCAACTAATTCAGTCGTCGATTAGTTGGTGACGTCATCACGTGTGTTTTACGCACCGTTAAGCTCCAACGTTATCGCTCTTTTTATCGGTACTGGAGACATTCAAAAAATATATGTCATGTATTATTGCTACATAAACATTATATCGCAGTCTTAGTGTCGCCAACTCGTTTCTAATATGCAAAAAGACAAACAAATGCGTCTATGATGTATTTTCAATCTTTCTAATCCAGACGAGATCTCTCTCCCCCGTCTGTGTGCGAGGGGGCGGGGCAGTTTACACACACGCAGCTGCTACATGCAGCAACACACTGCGGGGATGGCGGAGAGAAGCGCTCCAAGGTGTGGTTAAATGTTACCCGTCTCGATGTGGACAAAAGTTCAATAAGAGTTTAGCATGTAAGGGCGGTAACACGAGCAATTTGTCTAAACATTTAGCATAAGTGCTCCACATCCAGACGGAGGAATGCACCGGGTTCGACTGTCTTTCTAGCAGCTCTGTAGCTCCGTCCACGAGTAACGATTCCACGTCAGCAACACACGGAGTTAACAAAATTATACAAGCATGGGTTAATGATTAGAGGTAACTAAGTTATTTATTTTGTAAAAGTTTCCGCTATTTTGTTTACAGTTCTGTCATCACATTATTGAATACGATTTGTTAAAACATTGTTGTTTCTTTTGATGTGAAATATTATTTATTTAATTTAAATAAAAAGCTATGTTAATTTTGTAAACAATTTGTTTAGTTAATTTAATAATATATGTATTTTTGGATCAAGTATTCATCTTTATTGTCTTCATTGTTAGTTTCCACATGCCTAAAACAACCTCAAGCTAAATCTAAAAGTTTATGGCGTTGAGAAATTGTGCAAGGCATAATAGTCCGAATAGTCGATTAATCGTTTAATTAATCGATAGATTAATCGATTATCAAATTAGTCGTTTGTTGCAGCCCTACACAACATAGTTACAGGGTTTCAACATTGGGATATTTCATCAGAGTGTGTATATCTTACGTTGGGGAATAATTTCCCCTGCATGTCTTCCTTCGCCCTCTGACGCAGATGCCCAGCCTTGGGCAGCATGCTATCTCCCTTAAGGAGGGGCTGCCCTAGCATGTTGATGTTGTTACCAGTTTATGATCGGGCAACTCTCGGTCAGAGATAGTTATTGTTGTGGCACACCTGGAACACATCCTTCTCGGGGTGTAGATGACCCCGAGCCATAAGCGACATGTGATTCAGTGTCCCTCAGCTGTTTAGTCTATCTATTGAAGAATGTTGATTATTACATTCTGAACTAGTTAAAACCTCGAGCTACAGGAGGGGTCTTCAGAATTGATTGTGGCATCTCAACCGTGTGGCCAACTCGTGGCCCGTGACATGTCTTGTGAATTCTCCGGCCGAAGCTCCAAATAAACCGTCAGTGTTTGCCATCAAAGCTCCAGCTCTCCTCGTGTCTCTCTGAGTCCAGACTCCTATTGCTTCAGAAGTTTCCCCCACATCTTATATATCTATATATGTTATTTTCGCTGATAATTTTATCAAAAGTGACTTACATATACTTTAATGCCATAATGTCTATGGGATCTTGCCCGAAGACTTTTCGACATCTTGGGTTTAAACCGCTAATCCTTTGATCGGTAGACGCTTATCTACCCACAGCTCCCCAGTCTCACCATTCTAAATGGGAGTGATTATAACTGCAGAGTGGCCATTCAATGGGCTGATAACATTTTAAGTGTATGGCCGGATAAGAATCTCTTTGTTCTGTAAATAAATACAGATTTGAATCTGAATGTGATTATTAGGACTATGGTTGTTTGTGTTATAAAAATGAAATTCCCCAAACATTTTCATTATTTTATTTTCATTTATTTACAGTAAACACACACAAATATAAACTTCTTAAGTTGAATTAAGCTATCAAAAGACATGTTATAAACCAATGAGCAGAGTTTCCATTTGGCAATTTATTTGCAGAAATCTGATGAATAACCTTGGTTGTTGGCCACCTATTACTTGTAACACCATCCTTTTCCCCTTATCTTTCAGGTCTTGTGTTTCACCCTGACCCCTTAAAGCCCTTACAGTTCCCCTGAACCTGGCCCGGTTAGATTTCTCCATTCAGAGCAAAATCAATGGCAAACGAAAAGGAGATCATTAGTCACTCGTGCTTTCAAACGGAGCTCTGCCTTGGTTCCAGAAATACAGCTGTGAGATTACCACCCACAGCTCTGCAAATCCGAGACGTGGGGAGGGAACTAATTATTTGTGGCTGATAATTGCTCTGAGGTTGCGCTAATACTAGCACATGTCGGTGCAGGTACACGGCGGCTCTTTTCTGTCATGATATGGCCTCCTTTTTGTCAACAACACCTCATTACATAAAGGGTTTAATTAACAAGAGGGAATGGAGATATTTTTTTAAGTGAGTAGAAGCTTCATTCGAGTCACATCGAATCCCAAATGAGAAGTCCCACACCTTCTTTCTTTCATCTCTCTCTGTCTTCTGGAAAAATATGAGCAGATTGCTTCTATTCATTAGTCGCTGCTCGATATAGAATAAACATGTTGGGTGGAAAATAACCCCCATCCAATTCTGTAAACTAATAAAAAGTGCTGCGGAGGTATAAAGTGACTGATTGACTGATTTATATCCCTCTGCTCTCAGGTTTAACACAGGTTCGGGAACTGGAACAGTTGTCAGCAAAGTACAAATCAATCAGGGCCGCTGGCATCAGCTGGTGGTGACGCGCAACCGCCGCAACGCCATGCTCAGCGTGGACAACGAGCCGCACATCGAGGGCGAAAGCCCCCGCGGCACAGATGGCCTCAACCTGGACACCGACCTGTTCATCGGAGGAGTGCTCGAGGAAATGAAGCAGGAGTAAGAACTAACATCTATAGTTGCACATTGTTGTATTCAGGGTCGAAAGAAAGTTTTTTAAAGTTATTTATTATTATTTTTTTACTATGTTACTTCTTACTGTCATGGCAAGATAAACTATATTGGGGGGACATGGTAAACAGCACAAAAATAAACATCGGACCCCTAACAAAAATGTAGAATGCTTTGGATGTATGGAGGCCCTGAGGGGCAAATAGGACTTAAATAACTAAATAAAGTGAGACCTGCGGGATACCTGGCTAACTGTCTTCAAGAGTCTGGAGAGAGCCCCGTCTTTTAGCTAAAGTCAAGATACTGATATCATAGGGACATTCAAACCATCGTAAATGTGTACCCGATGTAATGCTTGCTTGTTGGAAAAAATTGGAAAATGATCGTCTATATTTCAAATGTTGGCAAAGGAAAAACTGTCATGTCAATACTCACAGGAGTCCTTTGACTGACATTACTGTTTTTAAAATGTTGTAGAAGGCTCTGTTTTAAAGCGAGTATGAAGATACTGATATCATAGGAAATTAGAATTCCTTATGAAATTAAACCTATGATGCCATGATAGCTTGTCGGAAAAATAGGAAATGAATGCTCCATATTTTAGCCACATATTGGCAAGGGACAAACTGTCATGTCTATGCTCCCAGGAGTCCTTTGCTTGACATTAATGTGTTAGGAGGCTCTAGTCTAGCAGGCTCCGTTTTAGACTTTCAGTGGAGATACTGATAACCTATGAAACTAGAGACTTATGGATTTCCTGAGTATATTGACAAAACAGAACATACACCCTCCTGCAGCAGAACCAAGTGTTTTAACACAACTCCAGGCAGTCACTGAACTTACAGTAAAAACTGTACTCCAATCTTCTGGAAACTGCACAGAAACCCCCTTATTGTCAATAAACCTCGGAACGCCTTGCCTCCCAGGAAAGCTCTCTACCTTTAGATTGTGGTTGTAAAGATTCACAAGGCAGTGATTATCCTACAGTCCACAACAGCTCATTTTATACAGTTAGGTAAAGCCAGAAAGGCCTCACTATAGAGAAATGACTAATATGGAGACTAGCATCACTTGTGAATACAATTGTGCTCATTATATCCACTGCGACAAAAAACTAAAGAAGACATTACCTTACATTGGTTCCCTTTTTTCTTCAGTGTGAGGGAGCGGACGGCGGTGGCCACAGGTGTGGTGGGTTGCATCCGCCTGCTGGATGTCAACAACCGTGTGCTGAACCTGCAGGAGAGCGGGGGGGACAGTCTGTACGGCAGCGGCGTGGGCGAATGTGGTAACAACCCCTGTCAGCCCAACCCCTGCAAGAACGGAGCTGCATGCCAGGTCAAGGAGGCAGAGATGTTCCACTGCAAGTGCAGCAAAGGATTCTGGGGTAAGATGCCAACATAAGCAGGTCAGGATGTTCCTAATGGTCATACTGGGATTCCCAGTACATTTTAAGTGGTTTATTCCAGTGTAGGAGCAGGGAATAAATAGAAAATATGTCATTTCATATGTGGAATATCCAGACTTTTTAACACATCGTTAAAAATGTGTTTTGCCTTCTTTTCTGGGACTCACTGTGGTCATGACTTACTCGCAAATCCTAAGTATGCTTGACAGCCTAATTTGACAGTGAAACTCACGCCCCCAGCAGGAGCGCTTGAAGTCATTTGTAAACAGCAACACCATCAAATCTGCATGTCCAACACAGAAACGAGAGATTATGTGTTGAAGCAGTACAGAAAAACATGAAAACCTCCACCAAATGCTTAGTGATTGGCCTTTGGCCTATCTCTTCTTCCACATCCCTTCCTCCGGCAGATGCCAACTAACAAGCAACTCTGAGAGAATATAGCTAAAAGCCAACACCATCAGCGCCTAGCCAAGCGTGACTCGTGCCTGTTGTACGGCAGCCTACTGCAGAAAGTTTCCCAGCAGAACTAAATTAATTGTTGGAGTTAACTTTAATCCCTCCGTAGTAAAGGATTGTATTCAACATGGTGAACGCTTTGTGGGGAAACCAGCTCACAGTAAAGTTTTTGGAGCTGTTTTCCTTGGATTGAAAATGTGGATCTTTAAAAAATCATAATACATGATTATTGTCTTTCATTCATTGATTTTATTATTATTTTATTTTTTTAAGTGTCTTTGAGCATTAGGAAAAGCGCTATACAAATCCAATGTATTATTATTCCAGAGGTGCTTTTATGTTGTGTAGTTATTAAGGAGCCTGGTACAGATAACCCTCCCAATTTGAAGAAGCATTGCTGTGATCAAAAATGTGTTGGCAACATGGTGTTAAATGAATGGTGATAATGAGAATTGAACCGTTGCCTGCGGATAGATTCAAGTAATTTTTCCCATCGTGTAAATGTATTAAGTAGGGAAGATTGCGGATTTCGAGGGGGAGGGACAAATCTCTGAAAACCAGAGAATAATTGGGTGGAGAGCGGTTGAAACGGAGGACATGTCAGAACAGTGGGATGTATGAGGGAGGCGAGCGAGTATTGGAGCAAAGAGATGGTATAGAAGGCAGAGATATGAAAAAAGAGCCGAGGAAAAACGCAGGGTAACCCTGTGAGCTCAGCGGGGACGGGCTTCATTAAAGCGCTCCCCTCACCACTGGCTCTGACTGCTAAAGTAATGACGGGTGGATTCAGATGCGCTGTGGCAGAGGGCAAAACAATCATCCAACAGATGCTACAGTGCCTTTCCCACAGATAGGGTTGGCCCAGAAACATGGCCGCATGGTGGGAAGGCTCTCCACTGTTCTTAATCTGGACGTGTAATATTTCCAAATCCTATTAGAAAATGACCTCTATTACAGAGGAAATCCTTGTATAGAGAATAAAGAGAAAACGTTGGTGGTATTCTGATGTGGGATTTTTTATATGTGTGTTTCTAGGTCCAACTTGTGCTGACGTCCATGATCCATGCGAGCCCAACAGGTGCCATCCATCCTCCCAGTGCCAGGCGCTGCCGGAGGGAGGCTACAAGTGCGAGTGTCCCATGGGACGTGAGGGGAGGCACTGCGAGAAAAGTAAGCTGACTGTATATCCCGGAGTTACTCCATCACTTCCTCTGGTGCATATCTAGGAGCGGGGTGTTTCCGCCCGAGTCAGCTGAACATCTAACCTGAATCAAAAAGGGAGATCAAACACAGTAAGTAGGGGGGGTTTGATCCTTCAGGCTGGGAGGGGATGGGAGGGCTGCAGAGCCGAGGTAGATGATTGTCCCCGTCGGGCCGTTCAACACATCGACTCTGCTACGCTTGTTAGCGAGGTAGCAGCAGCAAAGCCACAGCCTTTCTCTGCTCGCTCCCTGTCTATCCGCCCACAGGTGTTGTGTTCAAACGTGTGTGTTACTGTTCAGCTCCACATGGCAGAACCGGGCCGCGGCTGGGGAAAAGACCAGAGCACGGCTCAGCTGCTTTTGAAGTTCATCATTAGCATTTTGGCGGGCGTTGCATTCTGAAGTCTCCCTATGCCTTTTTGTGCCTCCCCTGGCTTTGTAGATGTCGTCGAGTTGACTTCTGTAGCCGAGAATAAAAGAGAATATACTATCATCTAAATCAAAAGACAAACACGCACCCATCCCTGGGAATTTAGAAAAACCAGATGGGAATAGCCTCCTTCCAAGCCCCGAGTCCCAGTTAGCAGGTGATTAAAATAAATTGAGGTGAACCAAAATCAATGCTGTGTGAGCGAAAGCGTCTCCCATTCCAAAAGGCTATTTTTTTCCACCGGAATCAATGGGATGACTAATCGCATCAGTTCTCCCTGCCCGGCGTGATTAATGGGAGCGTCAGTCAGCCAGAGTGTCAGCCCCAGACAGGAGCTCGCAGATAAGGTGGCATTCAGGCAGACGTACCCTCTGAGGGCTGCACTGAGAACAGTTGAAGAGACAGGTAGCTTACAGGCCACTCATCAGAAGCCTGAAGGTGAATTACTCGTAGTATTAAGTGTGTGTAACCCAGAGAGAGAGAGAGAGAGAGAGAGAGAGAGAGAGAGAGAGAGAGAGAGAGATAGATAGAGAGAGAGGAGAGAGAGCGAGATCAGAAGAGAAGATACTAGCGATAGAGAGAGAGAGATAGAGATAGATGAGAGAGCGTATCTCTCGCTCTCGATC